CTGAATAGCACCTCTTTAATGAGGACACAAATCCATACACATTTTTTACTGAGTTTTACCACCAGATGTCAGCCATACCCTGCACTGGTAATAACTATCCTAAAGAGAGTTTTATGAGGAATCCATGTATGTGGATGGCTCTTTCATCTCTCCTTCCCTCCATCTCTTTTCCACTCTTTCCGCTATCACTGTCAGTCTGTCTAACCAATCAGTCATCTATTGATCTGTCATCTACTTAGTTACTTACATTGTACATATGAAACAGTATTTTGTGGAAAAGAAAGTTTCAGTATTTACATATGCAAATATGAAAGTAAAATGCTTTCTAAACTTGGATCTGGAATTCAGCCTTTTGTTAACCCAGTCACTTAAGTACTAATGTCATATATTTGGCCTTTGTTTCAGAGTATACTCTCCACCATCACACAGAACCTTTGCCTTTTGGAACTTTTATTAGATTGTTATTGTCATTCTGGAATTATATTCTTATTGGAAGAGTATCAACCTCGTATTGAGAAAACTATGCAATACTTGGTCTTCAGAAAGGCTTTGGGTGATTTAAAAAGCTAACTATTAGAGAACTCTGCAAAGAGAAGTTTCCTGTTCCAACAACTTCTAGTTAATTTCTTTTTCTATCTAATACCTTCTTGAACTTTTAACACTTACCTTCAATGATCTTCACCCAGACTTTGTCAGGTGCCTGGCTCTACTTCCATCACTGAACTTAACACAAAGAATCTATGCTTCTTTCTCCTCTAGGTAGTGAGTTATTTGAGGTTTGGTAGCTTAGCAGGCATCTATTGATAAATGGATTTTATTCTCTAAACAGGGACTGCGGCCAGCCTGTAGTCAATTGCTGGTTGCCTACTCAGCAGCCATTTTCTTCTATCTTTCCTTCCTATCCAAATTTTGTTTAAAATTCAAGCACTTCTCTTTTGGAGCCATGAAATTGAGGAAAAGTTCATCCCACTCAAACTTCATGCATGGATCTGAGTGGTCTAAAATAATCCCATTCTGTCACTAAGGATTAGCCCATGTGGTACATGGGAGGGAAATTTTTCTTAGAGGGTCCAAGGAAAGCTTTCTTCACTCCTGAAAGAGTGAACTGCAAGATGCACTAGTGGGTAAATCTTTGCAAATCCATTGTCATTTCTGAAAAAGAAAACAGTTGTTCCTGTGTGTCTGAATCCTTTGCAGGGAGTGGGGGTGGGGAGTGGGAGGTTGATACAGATGTGTAGAGAAGTAGGGGATCTCAAATTTGCAGACACCTACCAAAGCATATCACATAGAACACTTTAGAGAAAGAAACCAACATGGAGGAAAATGCCCATATTACACAAAGCATACATTATCCTTTGTGTTCCTTATGAGTCAGTGAGCCAATAAATCTCAATCTCAATATCTCTCTCTCTCTCTCTCTCTCTCTCTCTCTCTCTCTCTCTCTCTCTCTCTCTCTCTCATTTTACACAAATACAATGAGATTAGTGTTTTGATTGGGGAAGTCTGTCTAGGCAGCTGGAAACATGTTTAGAAGCTGGGAGAGGGCAGTAAGGGCATGGCCATTTCAGAAGGAAATTTAATGTGTTCTTGGAGTGCAGATGGTGGGGAGAGTTTGGTAGGGATGCGATGATCCTGAAAAGGTAAGCAGGCTTCTGGGTAATGAGTCTCCTTGGTGTTCATCTCTTTTTTAAATTGAAACAGAAAGTTCAGGGCCTTACTGAAATTCTTAAAAGATTTCTGTGAATCTTAAGACTGTTGGCAAATAGAACAAATTTATCTCATCAAAAATTAAAACTTTCTTTTGAAAAACAAGGTTGAGAGAATCAAAAGATAACCCACATGCTGGGGTAAAATATTTGAAAATCAAATATCTGATAAAGGTCTTTAATCCAATATATCTAAAGAATAACATCCTATTTCCTAACAATTTAGACTACTTTGAATTAGTCCAAATATTAAAATTATAATTTATTTTCTTTGTCTTGTTCAATAAACGACTTTTTAAAACTTTTACTAGGCAAAGTAGATTTAAAAGAAAAGTGGCCTTTTCTTAAAAACAAACAAACAAACAAAAAAAAAAAAACACAAAAAACCCACAGTTCTCACATCTGTAATCAAATATGTCCCCAAGTAATTCAATAAAAATTAAAAGGCAAAGGATTTATTCAACAAACATTGATTGAGCTTCATGGTGTGCTAATACTAAGATTTTAAAAAATCATAGTCTTGCCCCTCCAAGGTTTGTAATCTAGTGAGAGCTCAAATAAGTAAATGATAGCAGTATAAGGTATAAGAGGAGTACATGGAAAATGCTATCAAACCTCTGATTGACAAGCACTGAGTTTTCATGGAGAAGGTGATATCTGAGTAAGGGAGAAGAAGGCTAAGGGACAATGCTGGTCATATTAGGGGATTAACAACAGGACTTGAGCTCAGGGTAGTTAGAGGAGCAGCGGTAGATAGGCTGGATAGCCAGGTTGGTGCAGCAAAAAAAATATCCCTAAACCATGAGGAGAAATTGTGACTTAACTGCATCTGATCTACTTGCTGTTTACAGGTTGTCCCCCTCTAAAATGTACACACACTTTGAATTAATTCCAATGGGTTAAATCTCAAAAGAAACATCTATTGAGCTACCAGCTGTAAAAATGTGCATCTATATCTATATATCTACTAGGGTCCCAGTGCACAAATTCATGCACCTTGAAAGGAACTATGGGCTGTGAAGCTGCAGTAGGCACAGGGGTGTGTCTCAGCCCATCCTCTGTGTCCCCACCCAACCCCTCCCACTGTGGCATGCATCCACTGACAACACGGAGCATTGGGACTGGCACCAGCAGCAGGTGTGAGCGGTGGCTGCCAGCCCCAATTGCTCCTCAGGAGCCGGGGGAGGTGGAGAAGCCTTGAGGGGCAATTGGGGCCACCACTCGCACCCACTGATTGCACCCACTGATTTTTTTGGCAACTCCCAAGAGAAGGAAAGGTGGGAAAGCCTACCATTGAAAGGCTGGTAATCAACTTTCTGCCAATAAGAAAGGTAAAGACTTGAGCAATTAGCTGGGAAAATAAAAGCAATGAATTTGTATCATGCTACATTGGTTACAAATAAAATGAGGGGAACATTTTATGCCGTTGAGTAGATGCTGCTTGGGTTGAGAGTCAGCAAGATTCTCAGGCTTTCACAGAAGAATGCCCGCTAATGAAGGCGAAAGGACAGAATTAGAAATTCATCACTATAATTACCACTGATGTGGTGAAGGGCATAAAGGAGCAGTCATTGAGGACAAATGTGTTCTTCTTTTGAGAAAGAAGATAACAGGAATTTAAACAAATAAAGTTTCTACCTGGGGAAGGCACCCAAGTTACATTTTAATAAGGGGAAGTAAACATATAGTAAATGATAATTTCAATCAGATCCTCTTTGGTGTCAATTATGAAGGAAAATAAATCTATGTTAAGTTAGATTTTCTATAGAATATAGATGAAAGTTATGTATTTTCCAAGTAGCATGAATTATCTTCATGATTTGTTCAGTCCAGCAATTTTCAACCAGTGTGCCGTGGGTGTGCTGCAAGAATTTTTAAAACATGCAATAACTGACTCTTGACTTAGGGCCACAGACCTTTTTCCCTCAGATTGTCAAATAAAACACTGATAACAGCCAACACAATATCTATCTGGTGTGAATGAATAAAAATTAAACCTATCTTTCTTGTCAGATGGGCAAAATATACATTTTTTGGTATGCCGCATAATTTTAGTAATTAGCTTATGTGTACCATGAGATGAAAAAGGTTGAAAATCACTGGTCTAGTCAATTAAATCACTAATATCCCAACTACAATAATGCCTGAATTAATAAGTTCTAGAGTCTGGTTATTCTGAAAAGAACCATCATCAGCTTCTTCTAAATTGCATGGTTGGGACATGAAAAACATGTTTTTAAAATTAATTTGTAGTCACTTTAACAAAGGAAGATTATTATGAATACATGGGAATTTGAGTAAACTTTTTTTTTAAAAAAAAAAGAAAACTATTAGTAACCTACACTGGGATTCACATGCTTATGTATTGAGATGCAGTTTTCCTCTTAGCTCTGACCACCTTTTATTAAAGTATTTACTTTCTGATTGATAAACAGGCAAAAACTCTCTTTGGATTTTAAAAGAGACCCTGGTTTTACACATGTATATAAACTGTTAGGCTGGCTTTTAGTTTATATTGGCTACATAACAAAATATCTTTTTAATCTTAATGCAGCATTTCTTTGGCCTGAAGACATTGAGAAGGTTTCATGATATCTGTGGTTTGTGTAATTTACACAAAAGTTGTATATAAAACTCTGAAATCTGCAAACATTGCAAAATACACGCGGACAGCTAATGCTCTGAAACACTTTATTACACAAGTTACATTCAGATTCTGAAAATAGTGTTCTAACAGTGGAACCATCTAAAAATAAGACATCCCAAAAACACACCAACTAAAGAAGAAAATTTAAAAAAAGAATTTAAATAGAGACTTCTTTTCTTTCCCTTGTTGCAATATAATGCTAGTGATTTTAAAAAAATAGGAGATTTAGCAGCTTTGTCATCAGGCTGAGAATGCTGAACAGGAAAGGCACCAAAGAAAGACATTGGCAATGGAAGCGCTATTGGGAAAATACTGTGTTCAAGCAGAGCGGGCTTAGTCACATCTACAGAAAAGTCTCAAAAATGTAAATGAGCAAGCCTTCCATCATAAAGTAGTAGTGTGATGGAAGAAGAGGACTGTTTCTCTATTCTATGTCCATATATAAAGACCATGGCACTGTTATGTACTTTTAGGAAACTCCTCAACTAGAAACAGAGGCCAACTAAACCCAAATGAAGTAAATAAAATGTGTACAGTCCCGCACAGACTTGTACAGCTTACAGTTAAACACACAAAACTCTAACGTGCTAAAGGGAAAAGAACTGGCATTCTTGGTACATCTCCTCAGCCAGACCAAAGCAGGGCGCTCAGGAGGAGGGTGGTGCGGGCGGGGGCAGCGGTGCCGAATACTCCTCTTCCGATTCACTCCCATCATCTTCATCTTTCTCTTGGTCGCTGCCCTCGGTGCTCAGGCGGTCAAACCCTTTTCGACTGTAGCCTTTACGGCTCGCAAAGAAATTTCCAAGGTTTAAGCCTCCACTTCCCTTCCCTGAAGAAAGCAAACAACATAGAATTGAGATGAAGGGCACACAAATGACTCACAGGTTCTCTGCGTAGTCTCACATGGCACAGTTGGAAGTTGGGGATGGGAAAGGGTAGATATTAGCAGAAGAGAAACAAGAAAAGACTGACATACAGAGACACTTATCCTACAAAGTCAGATGGGCACTACACACAGTTATTGAAATACAGAAGGCAGAAACAAAGCTCCCGGGGACTGTGTGTGTCTGCAGGATTGTTTCAGGTTCACTTTTCACCTCCTGCAGTTTCTAGGCTCTGGGGAACTGGCATCCCACAGGCAGCTCTCCGTTTCAGTGAGTTTGTGAAAAGGGCATCTTCAGATGACAGCCACTGACATGCCCACAGGAGGGACAGAACATTTACTGAAGACGAAGTCAGATAAAAGGCAAGGGGGGAGAATTAGAGAATGCAGAATGGCAAGGTGGAAAAGAGACGGGAAATTCGCCACCACAGCCACACACACTAGTTTATCGTTTGCATTCTGCGTTCAATGCTGGGGGATGCTATGCTCACAGAGGGGCTTCATTTCCAGAGAGGAAATACAAATTATCTCCTTGCTCTTTAAGAGACACGAGCTTGCTGACTTTGAACCAAATGTGAAGGATTTTAAAAGGTCAAGGGCATACCTCTAAGTTTTCCCAGCAATCTTCCTGAACTTGACTCGAGTTTATGTTCAGAATCTGCTAGAAAAAGATGGCACATTTCAAAAGGAGCCCCAATCATCCTCCTCAATCCATGGGCTCAACTTTCAGTATAAATTCAGGAATTCATAAATAATTAACAAGGCTCTGGCTGCATGCAATTCCAAAGGGAAAAAGGTGATATAGTATTGTGATGCACCCAGGGCCACAGCTGGGTTCGATGCCTGCCTGCTCTCTCACAGGCTGTGCAATCTCAATCACTTCCCTGAGCTTCATTTTTCCCCTCTGAGGAAAGAAGGGTCAATGACACTACCTACCTACCTGGAAAGATTAGAGGCACACCGCATGTAATATATTTAGAACAGTGCCTGGTAAGTATACAATAAGTGCTCAATAAATATTACTTTCCATGGGGACAAAATGAAACTACCAGTAGTTTGTAAAAATTGGGAAGTTTTCATTATTACAATTTAGAAATGTTTGTCTTGGGTGTTAGTCTTTTTTTGAAGAACAGTACATGCCCTGCTTGAGGAAGCTTCGGGGCCCATGCACATCATTCCCCCTTTATATGACCGAAGTGAAAGCAAAGGACCGGGAACCCTGAACATTTTCAATCAGATGAGGTGACCCAAGTGTCCCCCATGCGGCTGCCCAACTCCATGAAAGATCAACTTCCTTTCTTTCTGGGGAGGCAGAACGCCAGCGGGACTTCATTTCTCTGTTGCTGTGTACCTCCCTGCACTCTCTACCGTGGCTTCCACCTCTGAAAGAGCTGTGTAGGGAACAAGGCTTGTGGCTCTCCTATGAAATCTCTAGCCAGGGATGGAGGCAACATTATGAAGAAAGCAAGCAGGCAGATAACAGAGGTGAGGCAGCATAGTGGGTAGGGAGGGGAATAGGGAAGAATAGAAGAATCTAGTAGGACTGTTAGAAAGCCAACACACTGGGCTGCAAGTTCTACAAGGGTGCAGGGCAGCCTTTAGCTGGTTTCACCCCCTGAGCCCACTACAGGGAGCCAGTACGCAGTGAGGGTATGCTGAATAGATGGGGCCCTTTAGGAGGGTTTCCAACCCTCACAGAGTGGATAAGGTCTGTCAAGAACAAATGTTGAGAAAACATAAAGTTGATTTCCTTTTAGAATTAAATGTGCAATTATAATTGTGATTTTTACTAAAGAAAATGTGATTGCACAATAGTAGTTTCCTATGGTTCAACCTAGGTCTCTCTGCCTTCCCAACAGGCACGTGTGGACTCAGCATTCTGTGACCGTGCCATGGCAGGGGAGGCCAGACTCTGACTCTCCAGTATTCCTTCATCCAATATAGTTTGCTTGCCAATAGTACTGCTACCTGCCCAGTCCCCACGTGCATCCAGTACTCCTGGTAATTACCGCTGCACTTACCACCCTTGCTAATCAATTTCATGTGTCATCTTTTTTTCTTTTTTTTTAATATCATCTCTCTTTTGTGTGTCATCTATTCTGTAAGCTCCATTTATTTCTCCAACAATTATTTGTTGAAGCCCTAGTGCCAGGAACTGTTATTTGTCCTGGGGATATACCGATAAACAAGACAACTTAGCCAGATTCTTATTGGTTTGAAGCTACCACCTAACTCCATGAAGATAATGACTATCTTTGTTGCTGCTGAAGAGTTCCCTATCCATAAGACAGGCTCAACAGAAGTGTTTTTTGGGAAGAGTTAACTGTTTTTATGCAAGGCTTTGCCAATTGCCTAGGAAGAGTAAAAGAAAGTCCTAGGAAGACTCCCTTTCGCCACCTATTAAACTGAATCCTCTGGTTTTTGTTTCTGTGTCAGGGCTTTGCTGTGGGCACTGAATTCCTGCAATGGCCTCTCTGACCTGAAATAGAGTCAGATGCTGTCTCTCTTGATCAAATGCTGCCTCCCACCCCAGTCCATGGATTCCTTTCCAGATGGAGCTGTAGATTCTTGCCTTAGGCCTGGGGACCCAGCCTCGGGACTGCTTCTAAGATGTGAGAATCACAGGCCTAGTTGTTTGTTTGTCTGGATATCCTAAAAGGAACTCAGCTCCTGGGTTCTGTACTATGATAATAATTCGATAAAATGCTGACTCCAGTTTTGGAACCTGCCTTGTATGGCCAGGAAAGGTGGACTGATGGCCTATTGGATGACGATTTAAAAACTACCAGATGGTTTGTTATAGAAATAGATGGTTTCCTGAGATAGCTGAGTTTTAAGACAAGTATGATTTTTTTTACTCCTTATGACTTTTTTTACTTTGCTACTCCTTAATAAAAAGCACTTACTAGGTACTAGGTACTGAGATAAATGCTTTCTGTACATTATTTCATTTATTCCTCACACAACCTGATTGAATCTTTTATTCCAACTTTACAAATGAGGAAACTGTGGCCGAGAGAGATTAAGTAATTTGCCCAAGGTCAAGGAGCTAAGAGCAGGAGCCAGGACCAGCAGGTGGGGAGAAAGACAACTCCCCAAATAACCAGCCCCGCTATTTTTGAGAACTGAGCCTGTTTCTAACAGCAGGGGTCTCCTCTGTCTGGACCCTGCAGCTCATGTACTCTGACTATACAGTATACATCAATTGGGCTTAAGCCAGTTGCTAAAAAGCAATATCAAAGGTTCTATTTTAATCTAACCATCCAAATATCCACATTTCTGAGGCTCCAGATACATTTTCTACTGTGATACTAACTATAGACAATATTTGGAACATAGACATTAACGTCTAAAAAGGCAGAGAACACTTAAAAAAAAAAAAACATTGGAAAAAATCACAATGGAACTTTGAGAATAATAAGGCCAAACACTCTTTCAAACATAGACTTTAAGTTCAAGGGGCTCATTTTACTTGCCTCCAAAGGCCCTTGACTTTTTCCACCGAATAAACATGGCAGTGGCCAGCAGGACCACCACCGGAATAACCAGAAGGGTTGTAATGAGAACAACAGGCACTCCGGAGTCTGGCTCTTTGATCAGTTTCTGTTTCTCTTGCAGCTTCTGCAATTCTGAGGAGGCGGGTTTGTTCTCCACTTTGGTGTCAACAACTGCCTCGGATTCTTCAGGGAGAGAAGAGTTCACAATATTCAACTGACCCAAAGATTCCAAAGCCCTCCCACCACTCCCACCCAGGCAAACCAACAATGGCTCACAAAGAACTTGCTGAGCCCAGTGTATGCGGGGTTCAGGCTTCATTGTCTGAATCTATGAAACTGGCAGCACGTATTGTGATGGGTAATACCCACTGAGTGGTTTTTCACCTTTAAATTGTTTTGTTCTGTTGTTCTATGTTTTATTTCCTCTTAGCTGTAATTCCACACAAAAATATAGCCCCCTTTTTGCATCTTTTCAAAGATAAAATGAACAGGCAGCATGGTGTAAGGGATGGAATTGGTGTGCAGGCTGGAATGGAGTCAAGAGGATCCAGCCTCTAACTCCTGGTGCCTGTGCAACCGGCTGCGAAACTTTGGGCAAGTTACTTAAGTGATCTGGGCCTTAGCAACCTCATCTGAAACTTTATATGCCTCCTTTATAAAGCCTCTGGGCACAAATGTTACCATAAAGAAGTTGTTTAATAAGATTTTGTGTCCTGTGCTCGCTTCGGCAGCACATATACTAAAATTGGAAGATTTTGTGTCCTTATATCTTTACGAATCTCTTTCATGTTTAATGAATTATTTGTACATTGCATGCATACATTTATTCTGGGATTAAAACCTGGGAAGAGGAAGTGTGTCTTTTTCGGGGTCTTTTTTTACATTTCCCAGCAAACTGAAAGTGCACACATATGCACTGTGTGTCCTTTTGAGGTTGATGAAAAGAACAGACAATTATTTTGTGATATCGGCAGGTTTTAGGCAGATATCAGACCTAAAGTACTATTTGGGAAATTGATACAATGACATTATGTAAGCTGATGCAGGGATCTTAATAATTAGTGATTTGAAAGTGACGTGAGCCTTGAGGCACTCTTGCCCTCAAGAGGTGCAGATGTGTGTTGGTATAAAAACCCTACTGTCCCAAATCTAGAAGATATAATCAGGATTGCCAAAACGCCCAGTTTCCGGAACTTTAATTTCTTGCAATGCTCTTCTAACCTATGATACAGAATGAATCAGATGGCCTCACGGACATTTTTTAAAATGGCAGGGATAGCTGGTTTACCATTGTCAGGAAAACATTTGGTTAATGTTTAATATATGTAGACACAGCTTAGTAGATAAACTGGACACTTTTCCAAGAAAACATTTCTCAAATTACTTCAGACACTCTAAACACAATGTTTGACATACACAAATGGCAGGTCCCAGCCTTTTTGCTTAAATGTTCTGCGCCAGCCTCCTTCATGTCTCATTGATACCTATTGAGCACTTAAAGAGGTATTAGGCATTGTTCACATTTAATCATCACACCAAGCCCATGAGGAGGCACTATTATTACCACTGACTTACAGATGGCCTGTCATAGTCCTCATTTCCTTCCCTGCACTACGGCTAAGAGGAGACCATTATTTCTCTTATTTTGTCAAATGAAGTGGCTCTCGAAACTTCAGTGGAGAGAAGGAAAGGGATTGGTTCATAAATCTAGAGGGTTCAAATTTAACCTTTCTAAGTCTCAGTTTCCATGAGGAATATAAATGTGACTTGTACTCTTCCAAACCACTGTTTTGTCTTCATATTATTGTAGAAGAGGTATGCAAGTTGTTCAATATTCAAGCATATTCTATATTAAAGCAGAAAAATACATAAAACACAACAGGATTAAAAAAAAATATATATATATATATATAGGCCAAAGTTACAGGTTGGCAATCAAGAATTTGTTGCCTTGGAAGAAAGGTTTATTTCTTTTTGAAGGTGACTGTAAACAGAGACATTATTTAGCAATTTCTACCTGCCATTAAGTATGGTGGGGCTATATCAACTATATCAATCAATAGATCCTTTCATAAGGCAGGACTAGGACTGGGCTATGCTATGGATAAAGTAAGTGATAGTCCAAAATAATCAGTTTAGCACTCAGAGAACGTGTACTGAGAATGAGGCAATAAACTTGTTAAAATATAAGGTACATTCATTGCACTTCTGCAACTCCTCACGCCAGCTGGGGCACTGAGTGTCATCATCTTTTCCTGGGCAGTGGAGCAGGGATAAAGACTGTACTTTTGGTGGGATACTGGCATATCTCTTATCCCTGGTAACTTTATTTGAAAAGTTAAATTCCTTTCCTGAGTTTCTTATCACCACAAATTCTTTTATCCCCACAACTCCCTGAGAACGTGACACTGGTTCTGACATGGTATGTCAGATGTATGAGTGCCACTAAGTAAAGTCACAGAGTTGCCCTGTGAACATTCATGAGTGTCATCCAAGGTGACTCAAATTTGGAAATTTACAATCAACATGTATGAACAAGCCTATTAAGTTTGGGATGGTGTTTCTCACTCTATTTTGTAAGGAGTGGTTTAAGTTTAGCTTCCGGATTTTGGTAAAAGGCAAACTCTGGAGATCCAGCATGACTTATATTCCTTTTTGAAATGAGAAAGTAATCTTTAAAAAAAAAAAAAGGTTTAATGAGTGTCATATGGGCTCAAAAATGAAAAGAACAACTTCATTTGGACATTCCTAACTATTAAAATGGGACTGTCATGACACAACACGTCAATAAAATTTACTATTGGAACCGCTGCATTCTGCCACGGACCGGGAGGTTTTCCAACCAGATGATTCAGTGGGCGCACTGAGGAGAGGCAAAATGAACTACAGGGATGAGCACAGTTCACCCCTCACTGGTCAGTGTGGTTGGGCTGTTCTCAACAGGCCAACCAGAACAACCGAGAGAGAGAGAGAGAGAGAGAGAGAGAGAGAGAGAGAGAGAGAGAGAGAGAGAGAGAGAGGGAGAGAGGGAGAGAGAGAGAAAGAGAGAAAGAGAGAGAGAGAAAGAGAGAGAGAGAGAGTGAGTGTGTGTATGTGACCTATTTAAACAGAGATGGTTTGAGGCCTCTTTGAAATACCAGAGGATTCAGAGTAATCTACAGCCTTCTCCAAATGAGTGAATTTGAACTTATTATTACTACTCCGTTTATTAGAAAAAATGATGCTAATTGTATAGGTTTAAAGGTTCAGGATACAGCAGAAATTATTGATAATTTAACAGATTCTATTTGGAAGAATTTATGGTGAGTCAATTGGTAGTATTCATCTCTCCTCAGTGGTACAGTACTAGTGGGTAAGAGCCCAGGCTTGGTGCCAAACAGACTTTGGTCAAAACCTAGCTTTGCCACTTACTATTAGAGTAGTCATTCTTATCTTCATATCCTTATATATAAAATGGAGATAATGCAATGATCACATTGTTGGTGTAAGGATTAAACTTGATAATTCTGTGTAGCCCATTGTTTGTGCTCCATAAAGGATAGCTATTAATAATAATATCGTTCCCAACATATCTTTATTCCAGACAGAAATTATCAATAATTCTCTATATAATAATAAAAATATAGGGGCCTGGGAACTTTGTCATTATATGAGTATGGTATGAATGCCACTAAGTAATGTCACATAGGTAGAATCACTACAAATGCCAAACAATTGCTATTTATTTACGTTATAATATTATCTTACCCCTTTCAACCTTGAGCCGGCTATATTTTCTTATCTGCCTACATAAACTCCCTAAACTCTCTCTTGATTCTTGCTTCTTTTCATCTCTTTCCACCTGCTTTCATGAGAAAGGAAAACAAGTAAACCTAGGGTTAAGTCTGAATATCTAGGTGAATCATTTGTAAAGCAACTAATAATGGAATCACTTTGCTACTTAAATATTAGGACCATCTCCAGTGAGTTCTTAGCTATATACAATGATGCCCAAACCCTGTAGAAGCAGACAATGTACAAATATAAACTGATTTTAGACAAGAGAGAAAATAACTTGACAGAGATTCCATACGACCCAAATGGTTTCTTACTAGCAGTTTAATCTTATCTACCCATTCTTGATAATATATACCATTGTTATGTATATCTGTATATATGTATATATATGCACACATACACACACATACACACACACACACACACACACACACACACAGTCCTTATAGGGTGTAAGTCTCTTAAAGTCAGACACAGTTTCATTTCCCTAAGACCTATTACAGAGATTTACACATAGATGGCTTCCAGTAAATGCTGGGGAGCTAAATATTACTAAGATAGAAACTTGGGGAGCAGCTAATCTTCTCAGGCTCTTACAATATTAACTCATCAAAGGTTATTTTCCACTCCTTTAGACTAGAGCCCCTTAGGAAAAGGCCTTTTCCAGTACTTGGAAAAGTATTTTTCTGCTTGTCTGAGGTTAACATACTTACAAGTTACCAATTTATTTTTTCCTCCCTGAATGTTTCTGGCCCATTTTTAAAAATAGATTTCTTAATCACTTTTCACCTGAAATGAGTGAATTTGAACTTCTATTACTACTCTGTTTATTAGAAAAAAACGATGCTAATTGTGTAGGTTTAAAGGTTCAGGATACAGCAGAAATTATTGATTATTTAACAGATTCTATTTTTAGCTTGATACTCTTTTAAGTGCAATAAAGAGCCATAAAATAATCCAACACAAATAGCCTTGGGATTCACAGTCAAAGAGGAACCTGACCAACCTTTGGTTTCCTGGACCTCAATGCCAGCCTTCTTCACTGACCGATGTTCCATTTCTGTAACACAGCAAGGAGACAGAGCATCATAACCCCACAAGGACAATGGAAAACTTATTTCTATATTAATTTTACTCAGTAGGAAATATTTCCTTAATTCATAAAATTCATTCTCATATTAGAAAAGAGTTTAATACCAATCCCTAATTAGGTGTCAGGTCTAGGAATCATGGATAAAATCTCCTAGGGGAAGTTGAAATAATATTTCTAAGGTCTTCACATTTAAAATGAGATTTCCCTTTTTGATTTTTGAAATAGCAAGTTTTTCTGTTTTCATGTGGCATATCAGAGATAACTAGTCCTGCCATGTCCATCAGTTTTCTAGCTGACATAGATGGATGTGACTAGTTAAACCCTAGCATGCAGATATAAACACACTTCTTTGGCCCCAGATGACAGTCTGATTGTCCCAAAGGTTCTACTTTCCTGGTTTGTTATTTGGTTACATTTTGGACTATGCAGAGAACTTTTTTGTTTCGAAGCTGAAAGCTATAGTGCAGTGCTTCTCAATCAGGAATACATAAAAACCACTGGGGAAGCCTTTCTAAAATGCACACATTATCATTCCTCTTCTTTCTGTTGATCTCAAGAGGGGTGCAACCTTGTGTATTTTGAAAAACCCTCCCCCAGTGACTCAGATATACATCTCTGTTGAGTACTAACCATGAGGATGATATGAAGAGACTAACCTGGAATCTTACTGAATTCAAGTAGCACATTCCTATCTGCCAAGTGGAGATATTGGCTAGGTTTCTGAAAGTCTGTTCCACTTTGAAAGGTATTCATTTATTTCTTTATTCTGAAGAAAACCTGGGCTCAGACATGCGATTGGGAATTATCCATCTCTCTTTGCTCTCCTGTCTGCCCACACCTTCTGGTTCCTCTTGAGGAGGCAGATGGTGGGAGTTGCACTTGCAAGGGGGATGGGAAGCTGCTGCGAGAGGTGAACCATCTTGGGCACCGAGGTGCACTCAGCCCTAAGGGGTTTTATTACAAAACCAGCAAAGGCTACTCAAAGGATAATTCTGAAGATAGCAGTTCTCAAATCTACTTGGGGTCCAAGACTTGTAAGGTATCCAATTTCTTTATCATCACTTGTTTCTGTCCCTTGTTATAATTTGCATTTTTCCCTGGTTTAGTTAGCATTTCCTAACTCCATCAAGTCCATGTTTCCTTATTATTTCTCTGTCTAAAGCTGCCTGTTGCAGCTCTGAAACCACAAATGTATCAGCTCTGATACCTCAAATTTATCAGTTCTTCTCCCTAATTCCATCTTCTTCTACTTGTTTAGACCCTACCATATTTTAAAAGGATTCCTGGACACTAAGGTTTGTGGCTTACAAAGCATTTTGCGCTTTTAATTTAGAAAGCTTATGTTTTCTTAGTCTGATATCAGAGGCTAGGTTAGTATACTTTCTAAGAATTAAAAATAATATCCAAATTGCAATCAGAAACCTTCCCCCCCCCATACTCCTTTCTTGATCCTGACAGAGAAACTCTTCTGTCCCATACATACTTTTGAGCTACATGAAAACAGCAGTGTATAATCGTGAGTAAGCTGAAGCCTAAAGGAAAAATGCCGAGCGCCTCTTATTTGGAATGATGTGTGTCTGACACGGACGCTGGCGTTCCTAAATGCTCGGCAGCCACGGAGAGCTGAAGAGTCACTTGGGGAGTGATGCCTGTGTGGAAGCTAGTCAGCCCATCTGCTTTGCCAACGCCATCTCCCTCCCTCTGGAGAGAAGTTGGAATTAACATTGGCTTTCAGTGCAGCAGACATTACTTCAGGCATCAAGAATTTCCTGTGGAATATCTGTGGAAACAGGAGGACAACTGCCAGCAAAAAAAGTCTCTTTCCACTTAAGAAATTTAATTTAATTCCTGACATAAATACCAAACAACTACTACCTATACCTTGATTTCCCACTCCTATCAATAAAAAGAGAAAGAAACACATTTTTTTCACGTATTTTTTAAGCAATAAAACTGAGGGGGGAATATGCACCGTACTATTGCTAAAACCATACTTTCAGTTGTGATGAACTTCCACACGGTGTTGGTGTGAGCATCTCCAACGTACACAGTCCCATCCTCATCGGCAGTGATGTCATGAGGCATGTCGAAGTGCTGCCCAAACAAGAAGCACATATTAGGGTGGCAAGCCCGTACTTGGATTCTCCATCAACAGGCAAAACCCCACAAAACCACCCAACAAAACAATGAGCATATTACTCAAACCAAAACACAAAACAAAACAAAAACAAAAACCACAAGCAAAACCAAAACCAGTAATTCCCATCAAAGCAACTCTAGGCCAAAGGGAGTCACTCATTCATTCTTGGGGCCCTGACTCCACCAGGCACACCTTTAAAAGAGTTAACATTTACAAGTAGAACTTCTTTTTACAGTGTTGATTACTTGGTGTTGCAATATCTACACGTTTATTTATATTTATTTTAATAATTATCAAATTTGCCCATTTAAATCTATACAAGTCAAAAAGACCAGGTATTAAGTTTTGGCTATTATCCCAGTCAAATTATCGTGTGCTACCTTAAAACTAGTTATATATTACTGATTAGAGAAATCATTTTAAAGATTCAGTACATTTAGATTTTTTCTATTTAAGTATATATTCTTACTGATTTTGAGAGAGAGAGAATGAAAGAGAGAGAGAGAGAGAGAGAGAGAGAGAGAGAGAGAGAGAGAGAGAGACAGAGAGAGATATCAGTTGCTTCTTGTAAGCTTCCTACTGGGGATTGAGCCTGAAACCTGGACACTTGCCCAGGCCAGGAATTGAACCAGTGACCTTTTGATTTATGGGGTGATGCTCAACCAACTGAGCCATACCAGCCAGGGTGAGATCTAAGATGTATACCAGGAGAGAGGCAACAGTGTTGAGTTTTATACTCTGAAGCCCAGTGTTTACAATATCTTCAGGCAACAAAGGAGTGATGAGTGTTACCTCCAGTACTTTCTCAGCTTTGATATCTACTTAGCTATTTGGTGTTTCATTATGTCTTTTTTCATGACATATTTCCGTTTCAATCATCACAATCTCAGTCTGAGGACACAGAAGACAGGGGAGCACTTTGTAGAAACCACACTTTCAGGTGGACCCAGGGTCACCACCCAGTTCCTAGAAGAGCAGCCTTAAAGCAAGTGCGGTGGCCACTTCCCTCTGCCTCTTGGGGCCTGAGGAGGTGCCCGTGTGGCTGTCAGTCGGCAGGACCTGGAGGATGCTTTTGCCTTTGGGGCCAGCCAGGCCTGCCTGAGGGCACAGCTCTCAAATACAAGACCCGTGAATATGAGCAGGAGCATTATCCCACCGGTGGGCTTATCGATCAGCATCTGCCCACTCTAGTTTGCTGAGTACAGCGGCACTGATGAGGCGAACTGCAGTGCTCAGTTCACTTTAGGACAGAACGCACGCTTTGGAGATACTATTGTGCTTTAAAATTCAGCAACAATTTGTCACAATGAAAAGAAAAATGAGAAGGCAGTGCCAAGGAGGCTCAATCCTTCATACTACTAAATGAGCTGTGACAAATGTGCACGAGAAGGACAGAGAGCCAGAAATCAGAATGCTGCCTTGCTGAAACCTCGCAAGCCTGTCATTAAATGTTCATCTTTATTTTGGTTTCAGCTAATGGGTGGCAACCGACTTGCAAATTATAGGCAGTTCCTCTTCTATACCAAAATATGTTCTTTAAAAAATCGCTTTGCAAAACATATGGTTGTAAAGTGCTCCAGATTTTCTGGTAGAAAGTATTATAATGAGGGGGGGGCGGTGATAAGGGTGAGGGGGGATGTGTGAGCTGTTCATCACTAAGTCACACGGTTTGTCATCAGTTCAAGGCAACAATAACAGCAAGCCTCTATCTGTTCTCACACTGACACAGGGAGCCAAAAGTTCTGTCAGAAATACTTTGGGGCCACAGGAGGCGTTCAGAGGAGGCGTAGGGGGCGGGGCCTCGGGTCTATACTACTACTGCAATCAGAAGCACTCAGGTGCTTTTTCATGAACTAGCCTATTGTTCTGCATCATTTGAAAGAGAAAATGATGTTGTGAGTTTTCAGACTTCAGAGATTAAGAGATTCCAAGATCTTCTGACTGAGGCTTTGTAAACACTTCTTTGGAGGTTCTCCGCCCCAGCGAAATGAAATAGGGAAAGAGGAGGACGGCATCCTCCTGGGCCACCCGGTGACAAAGCCCTGGACCACCTGCCCTCAACATCTGTTATTCTGCCTGAAATGCTCCTAAGGATTTTGTGTTTTCTATAACCTAGCTTGTTTGCTATGACACAAAAAAATATTGAAACTTACTTAATGTTAAGTAAAACAATTCTCTAAGAAATTACACCAAGTTCATGATGAGGCTGAAAACATCCCTTGGCAGACTAATGTGTGCCTCAGGGGAGTACGAGGTGAATCACAGTCCCAAAGACCTGGGTTTGAGGTTCAGGTGTGCTTCTTACTATGTAGCTTTGGGTAAGTAATTTAACCTGTGGGATCCTTTCAGCTCAAATATTAAAATTTTAATCTCTATCATTTAGCTCAGAGAAATAACACAAATCTGGGTCTACTGGAGGGTTTTTTTTTTTTTTTTGCCATTATTGTTGGTGTTTTGCAAGGAGGGGTGGGGATCACTTTCCTCCTTTTCCACATGGGCTGCCTTGCAGAAGAGAGAAGAAAAGAAAAAGAAAAAGAAAGACAGCCTGAAGGGTGTGTGTGAAAGCAGACAATAAGGATCATAAGTCTTTCCTCTGATGTGTGTGTGTGTGTGTGTGTGTGTAGAATTTGGGGGACAACTATGTGCCTTGCCCTTATAGCTTTTGACACCATTTGACAGAACCATCTTATTTATTGTCCTCTGTCTCAGCTTCCCTGCATAGACATAATGAAGATCAAACGTTGGAGAAAAAAATTCTCTGAAGAATGTAATAGAAGAGGGAGAATCGAAACACATGAAGAGACAAGCAATGGATGGGCACAAGCCGAGGCATACACGCGTTACATAAAACTTGACTTCTGACTTGAAGGAAGAATATCTTCTTATATAGGAATTAATACACCTTATTATTTTCTTCACCCACACTTAATCTTTGTGATGACAACTTAATTAGGTGACAATTCAGAGAGGTTCATGAACTGATTTTTCAGTTTACTGAGTCAACACAGAACCAATTCTATATTCTGGTGTAATATCAAGTCGTGTTTATTGAAAGAAAAAGCAAATTTCACCTTGGAGTTAGACTCTCTTTTCAGGTTTCCTGTGCTGATCCATATACAGTGACTCATTCATCACCGAATGTCTGATGAATGCTAGTGTTTGGGCACAATGCTTTCTGAAATTTTAATTCAGGGCTGTTTACATTTTTGTGAGAGTAAGGTTCATTTAGAATCTAACTCTTGCTTAGCATTTAGTTTTGATTTCAGGATGAATATTTGAATTAAAAGTTAATAACTGGCCGATACAGAAAAATCAAGGCAAAATATTGCAAAATGAAGATCTAACGGAAAGTTAATCTTCTCACTTTATTAGTAGATAAGAGAAATTTAGCTCAAAGTGGCAAAATGATGAAGATGGGATAACCAATAAGGATCTGAAACACCAATAAAATGAAATATGTTATCAATGTAATTAATTTCCTTCTGAAGAGCTACTATGATTTGATATTTGATTACTTTAATGCTTTTCAGATGAAATACGTCTATGAAAACTTTTATTTATTATATATGAACTAGAGGCCCGGTGCCTGAAATTTGTGCACAGGTAGGGTTCTTAGGCCTGGCCAATGATCAGGGCTGATATGTTGGGTTACTGGCAGGGCAATCAGGGGGCCCTCGCTGGCACTGCCTTGGGTGTTCTGGGGCCTGTGGGCTGGCTGGGGCAGCTCCTATGTTGAGTGTCTGCTTCCTAGTGATCAGTATAACCAGTTTTTCCACAGGTCATTCCACTGATCAATTTGCATATTAGGCTTTTATTATATAGGATAGAAACCCACACAGGGAACTTGTACTGGAATCTTTAGTTCAGATTCAGTTTGCTTCCAATCAGATTCTGTAGCTCTTGTTAAAACTCCATTTGAGTGAGAGGGTATGTCTTGTTTTGTTCATCATTATATCCTTAGTGTATAGAATAATGCCCAACACAGATTAGGCACTGAATAAATATCTTGAGAAAGAATTCTGATAAACCCCAGACTAGCTGTCAGTATTCTAACAGGCACATTTCTAAAATATCAAGGCATTTTAAAGTATTTTTTTAATATAGCAAAGTTGATATCTTAAACAATACTATAAGCATTATGAGTATGGAGTTGCAATTTATCTGGTGGCTTATGATACCTGTATTTTGGTCCAAATAAGCCCAATAAATCTTTACATGTTTTAAAAAATAAAATCTATATATGTTTTAAAAATTCAGCCTGCAGTATTTTAGCAGGCTGAATTTTCTAAAACTGAGGTACCAGTAGTATATTCAGGCAGTGTGTGTGAACATTTTTATCATTTTGGTCATATGCAGAGAAAGTAAATTGAGAAGATAGTGGGCACAGTTCCCGTGCTTGTAAAAGACACTGTTAGAGTAAATAGTGGTAAGCCATTTGTGAAGCCAAAACTAGCCTTTCGTCTCTTATGTAGGCCAAGTCTTTAGGACCTGACTAAATTCCAGGAACTGCTATTTTCAAGTATTGTTGCTCAGTGTAGTCATAGTACTAAAAAAGCAAACAAGATTTCTGTTGAATCTAAGAGAACTATGAAAATACAGTTTAACATACTGTGGTATCTTCTCTACTAGGATGAAACCAGAAAAGCCTACTTTTTTTTGGTATTCTAACTACAGTAAATTTAAACCTGCCACTGTATGCAGAGTCTATTAACAATCTTAGTACTGCATTCAGTGTTAATTTGCAGCTGAAGAAATTGATCAGAATATAGGACATTTATTCTAAATAAAACATTGTATTGGAACGTGTCCAACCTACCTAAGAAAGTGATTATATCTCCTTCAAGTTTTTAAGAGATTATTCAAGTATAAATTGAATGCTAGGGTTTGCATTTTAATTCTCTCACATAAAAATTAATTTTATCTCATTACATGTGAATACCTTGCGCACTGGCTTGAAGACGTCTATAATTTCCCCACTGGAAAAGTTCATCACAAATCCTTGCACTGGTTCTTGATCCCCAAAGTGAGGCTTCCCATTCACCACAAAGAGCAAACCTGTGACAAGATATTCCATTAACTATTCTTTAAAATATGGATAAGACTGGCCTTCAAAGATATGCATGTACATTCACACAAACAATAAATATTGGGTCAATCTGGTCCCTACAACTGGCAACCAAAGTAGAAAACAAAACACTTAGCAAACATCTTCTGAGTAAGAATAAGATCAGGTTATGAAAATAACCTCCTTGTAATAGGAAAATCAGAAGAAGCTACGCCTGTTCCACTTAGGAAGTCGATAGAAATCAAGAATACATAGATAATATATATTTAGATATAAATGTAGATGTTGATTTAGAGATAGATGTAGATGTAAATATAGATATATGACATAAAAATATAAGTATAGACACATATAAATATCACAGGCATCCTAAATAGGTATTGGGAAGAGTCAGGTTACTTGAGCAAATCATTTTAGAGTATCAGATTTTTAAAAAATTATATAATTCCTCCTAGAGTTAAGAGAAGAATTGGAGGAAAATATGCTAAGAAAGTAAGTTATAGTATAGGCAGAAGAATGGTTTGAAAATGTGAGATGCATATTTCACAAAAGACACATATTTTTTATAATTTAAAAAATTAAACCATTTTATTTTTATTAATTCAATGAATACTCTTTTTAGGAAATTTTTATTTCTTAGTATAGTAGTGTTTATCCAAAATAATAGAAATTACGATGTCCTGGTTAAATAAGTACTTCAGATGATGGAAATTACATTTTCAAAGAATTAAAATATGCACAACACTAAACCACTATTGAAGATATTTTTATCTTTCTTTAAGGATGTCTAGAAAAGGGTTCTTTAGCCTATTACAGTAAAAAAAAAATCAACATTGTCAAAATCAAATACTATTGTGCAATATTGTAAAGAGAATACCAATTGTAATACATGTCATCTTTGGCTTAGATTCTGTTTTTAATCAGATTTCCTCTCATCTTCTCTCCTGTTATTTTTCTCTTCACATTTGATTTGTTTTTATTCACTAGGAACTTGATCACCCTCTTTATTAGGCCAATGGTCTTGCCAAATTTATTCCTTAACCATGAGGTAAAAATAAAAATGAGACTATCTCTTGTAAGGATATTAATGAGAGTCTTTTATCACTTTTTATTATTTATTCCATGGTAAGGCAAACTAGCTCCTTACCCAGCCACCTGAACCCCTTTATTTCATGTCCTAAATAAACTGTAGGCTGCTTGGAGAGATAGTAGCCATATGCAACTTTAAAGGCATAGAAATATAAACATTATAGCAATAGCTATAAATAGCAATGCTACTTTAATATAGATATGTTTAATAAAACTTATGGCAAAATTATATGCATATTTTAGAAATTAAATATCCTTTCAAAATGTTAAGTATTCATTATTTAATGAAAGATTATGCCAAGTTATCTTGTAGTATGTATGAATCAAGTGGATCTTATTTTATGAGTTTGGATAATTTTTTTCTGGTTTTCTTCAAGTCAAGAAAATCTATTTTGCAAATGAGAAAAAATTTCCAGATTTTATTGGTCATTCCTCCTGGCATTTAGACATAAACCTTACTTTACATATTTATCTTTATGAAAAAATTTGGTCATCTATTTTAAAAATATGTCAGAGGTATTTTGAATACTGATTTTATCAGGCATATATCATCTGTTGATGATGTGAGAATCCATAATATTAACTATTCACTAACTAGAGCAGATGATCATAATCAAGGAAAAATAAAAATCAATATTTGGGAAAACATTTTTAACCCATTACAAACAGTAAAATCTTTGAGTTCTTCATTAGATTCATTTAAAACTTCAGTTGAAATTGATTTACAATGAACTATAGTTTTAAAATTATTTTAAGATCTAATATATAAGGTATCTTCAATCCTTTAAGAAAAAAGAAAAAGAGCATGTGACACTAAGACAAATACTTTTTAAGAACGGAGTATAGTATGACAAAAACAAAAATAAATTAAGGTAAAATACCTGGTATATATGAAATTGCAAATACATTTCTTCCAAATGATGCATGCTTAATCTCTCGCACGAATTCTTTGGTGTCAGTTTTAAAACACTGGATCCGACCATTTTCCCTGTCTGCCACACATAATTGACCCAAATGAGGCACAAGGGCCAAGCTGTGAGGAACAGTAAACTGGCCTGGTTGGGGATTGCTCCCTGAAGATTCTACAAAACACAGAAAAACCTCAGATATATAATCTGTAATAGGACCAAAAGTCTGACTCTACAGTTTTGTTTTCCAGATTCATGACAGCAAACCATTAAATATCTGGAACCAGGGGGGAACTAGGGTAAAGCATTATATACATTTATTCCATTAATATCTATCACCCACCAACACATTAGATATTTACTCTCTTTAGATAAAATCTGGGGGTAGAAGTATTCTTTTTCCTCTTATAAGATGTGTGTGTGGGGGTGTGGGGTGGGGAGGATAAGCACGCGCACGTGCCAGGTAGATGCATTTAGAGGCCCTGTTTTCTCTACTACAGGGGACAATGGCATCCTAAAGGACGTGAGGGGTACCAATCTCCTGTTCCTGCTGATATTGGCTAGGAGTCTGATTGGGTACCTTCTCCCCACTGTGTGATGAACTTCCCACTTGGAGAAAACTGCACAATCCGACTGTTGCAGTAACCGTCTGACACATAGATGGCTCCGGTGTCGGGATCCACAGCCACATCGGTGGGTTGACAGAAGTGATTCTGGTCACTGCCTGGTTGCATGCTCCTTCCCAGGGTTAGCAGAGGGCCTGTCTTGCTGTTTGGATCCAGTTTGAACACCTTTTTCAAAAGGAACAAAAGCCTCATCGCATGGTTATTACTGACACCCACCCTCATGGCTAAGAACACCTGCACAGGCAATTAGAGTGTAAGCTCCCAATAATTACTTAAAACAAGATAGTTCTTTAAGAACTGGAAATCAACTGGTCAGTTCCTTCATTAGATAAGGGAGAATAGAGATTAATTAGTTTGTTCAAGGTCACCAAGGTCATTATTAGAGAATGAGGACTAGTACAAGGATGTCCTGTTCCATCCACACCTATTCCATGCACTTCCTTATCTTTCCTTAGCTAACAATGCTCTTCGGACAATACATGAACAATAAACGTTCACTGAGATAATGCTTGAAGACCCTGGTAGCTATGTCTTCTGAGTTCTAGCATTCTCTCCCCCCCCCCCCCCATCCCCCTAGTTTCTCTAGTTCTTTGCTGCCTACTCTAAAAACAGGTATCAAATGTGAACTTTGCTTCTAAGGGAAAAACTTATGACTATTCTGTGATTGAAATAGAACTTATTTTAAAAAAGACAGAATTTTAATATTTAATACATAAACATGAAGGTACCAGAGACTAGTCTTCAATTTAGTGAAGATGAAGAAAATAGAAAGCACAAGGAATGAGATAGAACTAAGACCTGAGGGCAGAGAAAAGCAAAGAAAACGTGGAAGCAAAGAAGGAGGTTGGCACTAAGGTTCCTGCCAATTCAAAGGAGGAGGTGACTTGATCATTTGCGAGTAGCTTTTCCTAGCACTAACTTCTAAGAGAAATATTTGAGATGGGGCCGCTCCTTTTTCTTATTATAAACTAACTGGGTCACAGGAAAGATGCAGGTAAGGCAGAGCGTTTTGAAAGCAATACCTCATGATCTTGAATTTGAATAACTGCCAAATGGAAGATAAATTACCTGATGCAGAGCCACGTCAGTGACCCAGTAATTTCCATCTTTATCCACACTCAAGCCGTGTGGCAAGTAAAACCTGCAAAATAAGAATAACTGTCTTGAATATATATTAATTTCCAAAGCATGTGTATGATGAATGTTTTGGTAATTAACCTCTAAAGACAATATAAATTAATAAATGTATACCAGCATTCCAATAGAAAAGACCAAAATTAATTGTTAAATTAAAATTCTTGTTATAAAAAGAGATAGCCTTATGACAAATCTTAAGCAGTAATCATTTAAAATTTTATATAAAAATAAATTACAAATATTTATTGTAAAGTATGGTATGTTAAATAATGCAAATAACATCAATTTAAAAACAATTTCTCATGATCTCACTCATTTGTGGAATATAATGAACAACATAAACTGATGAACAAAAACAGATCCAGAAACAGAGAAGCATCGATTAGACCATCAAATCTCAGAGGGAAGGTAGGGGACTGGAGGGGTAAGGAGGAGAGATCAACCAAAAGACTTGTAAGCATGCATATAAGCCTAACCGATGGACACAGACAACAGGGGGGGTGAGGGCATGAGTGTGGTGGGGGGAGAAATGGAGGGATAATGTAATACCTTAATCAACAAAGAAAAAAATTAAAGAAAAAGTTCTAAGATCATAAATATTAACATCTTAGAAATGTACATAAACAAATTTGGCTAGAGAAATAGAAATTGATTTATATAGTTTGAATCATTTAAATACACTGCAAGATAATGTAATTCTGAAGTAATATAGGACATCAGTATATGACTTAAAAGCTTTAAGAGTGCCTACTAAAGACACTAACGTATAACCCACCGAAAACAACTTCCAGCAGACATGAGCTGTGCCCATCCAAGCAAAGTGAAGTGGTGTGCCGGATAATCATTTAACAATCAATTGGGATGATCTGGGTAAGCGAGTTGTAAATGTGGATAGAAGCTCACAGGCTTAAGGAACTTGGACGGAATTAATAAACACATGGACAATATCTTAATATGGTGTGGTCAAAGGACATCGGACAATTTCCAAGCTATTTGTCAGCGTCTGGCCTTAGCATCATGCTGGCACTACACTTTTTTTTTTTTTCATGACTCAAGGCTATGAGATTAATTCTTTGAACTAGATCTCTGTTTTGGTGACTGAATGTAAGAGCTATGATATGATTTTGACATAACTCGCCACTGTTAGCCAACTCCATTTACGGTAGCAGCCATTGCTCTGCCCTCCTCTTGAATTCCTTTCTGGAATGAGAATGTTTCTGATTAATGGGTGGAGCATCAAGGAGACAGGTTCAGACGCACCGAGTGGTGGAGCTGGTATTAGAATTTGTTCCCTGACTCACAATCTTAGAATCCTATAAAACTCTAATTATTGCCCATCTCTATAAGCAGCTGCATTCAAAGAGGTGGCTCCGTGCCTTGCAAAGAAGCTGGCTCTCCCTGTGCCAAAGCAGATGGAGAGGGAACAGTTCCTGAAGATGCCAGGTTCAAATGGTTGAGGACACTCTGTAAGCAGGTGACCTTTCTTCCCATGACCTTAAAGTGTCAGCCAACTTTATTTTTGGCTTCCAAATGCCATCCAGGAATAAGATCAAATAATGAGTGGCTTTCAAGGCCAAATTTCCTATGCATACTAAGAAAAAATAAAAAGGACACTTGGCCAGTCCTCAATTTGAGATTGAAAGACAAACGCCTTTTTTCTTTGATGAGTTTGATTATATCACTTTTCTGCTGAATAATTTTTTTTTTTAATCTTCAGATGTAGCTGAGCACAACTCCATCAGCTATGTGTATTCATGGCTCTCTCAAGCCTGACTACCTATTAGAATCACCTGGGGAGTTTTACAAGTATTCTGATGTCCAGGCCTCATCCCAGACTATATGTGAATCTAATTTTTTTAAGCTTCCAGGTGATTTTAATATTCAACCAGGGTTTAGAATATACTATTTAGAAATTGAAAGATGAGATGGCCTAATTATTCCCCTCCTTTTTTTGTTGTTGTTAATCCTCACTGGAGGATATTTTTTCCCATTGATTTTTAGAGAGCGTGTAAAGTAAGGGGGGAGCAGAGAGAGAGAGAAACATCGATATGAGAGAGACATAACAATTGGTGCCTCCCATAGGCTCTCCAACTGGGGCCAGAGATCAAGCCTGCAACTGAGGTATGTGAGTGTCCTTCCCCAGAATCAAACCCACAATCCTTCTGTCTGAGGGTTGACATTCTAATCACTGAGCCAAACTGGGTAAGACAGCCTCCTGTTTTCTTAAGCTGCGCTTTCTCACCATCGTTATACAACATACTCTTCCCAAGACCAGACCCAGTGATGCCCTTTGTACCCAACACTCTATGTAGTACTCGCCTCAGTAACAATAGAAATACTTCAACTCACAGATTTTTCCCACTGGATTGGAGAACTGCAGCAGTATTTGGATCGATGACAAGAATAGTGTCTTCTTCAATTGGCCCAAGTCCTCTTTGCTGGTAAACAAACTTGCTGTCAAAAGAGCTTTAAAAAAAAAAAAAGCATTAGAATAATAAATAAATAAACCAAGTCAATGAGCTTGAGAATGCAGACTATTTACTTGAGATTCTAAATACAGAGTAAAAAGAAGAGCTCAGATGTATCTGACTTCCCTCTGTCCTGGACGGTTCAGCACCCTGGATTACACACACAGCAGCCACTTGCAGAACTGCCGCTCAGAATGGCCACGGAGCAGCATGGGAGCTGCTGGAGATGCAAGGTCCCAGGTCCCAGTGAATCTGAACGTGTAGCTTCACACCATCCCCATGTGACTCATGGGCACACGATTTTGAGGAACACTACCTGTAACTCTTAAAGTAACTAATATTTTTTAAAAGGTCCTCAAACTACTTTAATAGTTATTTTCTTTCAAATTACAAAAGAAAGCATAACTTACTTTAATTTTCTCTGTGATGATAAAGGAACTATAAATGATAGCAGGAAGGGCAGTGATAAAAAAAATAGGTTGCTATTGTACTAGCCATAGATATAATATACAAATCACATGAAAAAATATGAATGACATTAAATATTGATGGAGACATATTGGTACTTTGGAAAACCAACAGACTATACTGCTCAAATCTGCATACAGCTGTTGATCAGTTGGTTGGTATTTTTATGGAACTTATGTAGAGTCCCAGTAGAACAAAAATTTCAAAATATAATCTGTTGCCTTTAAGAATATACATCACACAATTATGTGAGCATCTTGACTATTATAGTCTTTTGGGTATATTTTTCCTGAAAGATAACAATACATCCCTGAGGTAGTTCTTATTAATGACCCATTCAATTGAGTACAAAGTATTGATTCATCTTTGTCAACCTAAAACTGAAGTAATATTGGTTACATATGCCATTATGTATAGTTAAAACCACACAACAATATGTAGAAAAAATAGACATAGGTTTATGAAGTAGAAGTGACATCACTAACAGAGCAGATTTTATAAGATATTCATGGGATCATTATTAAATTGAAATGTGACATTTTATTCGTAGTGCACAAGGTGTTATTAAATCAGGAAAGTCTGGTAAAGGGCAAACATGAACTCTCTTTTTTACTACTGTGAGATATCAAAGAGTTTACACTATATTTGAAAGTATTTTCAGTATGAATTTTTATACTAAAGACATCATAGATAATTTTCTAGAGAACAAAGGTACCAATTTCAGTATCAATGATGTTTTCTTCCCAACCTGACCATGAGATTGGATAACATCAGTAACAGTTCAGCATATCTGAGAGACTCGCAGCATGCTGTAAGTTTCATATTCATGTGTAAGAGGATGAAGTCTCTTCATTTATTGTCTCTTACAGTGTAAGTCTTATATTCTTCATTATTTAGAAATATTCCAGTGCTTTGCAATGGCACTATGGCAATCTAAATTATGTGAGAACTATGCTTTCCCTGTCTGTAAGAAGTTAAAAATCTGGTTTCCCTTTTTCTTAAATTGAAAATTTTAGATAATTGTAGACTCACATGCAGTTCTAAAAAATAATACAGAGTGATTCCTTGTATATTTTACCCAGTTTTTCCAAGCGTAGCATTTTGTACAACTATTGTACAATATCAATATCATAACCATGATACTGATACTGATAAAATCCACTGGTTATATTTAGATTTCCCTCTTATATTTCCTAATTGTCTTTTTATTCTTGCAGTTTATTTGCTTGGACATGGAATATACTAGTATATTACTAGTCCCCACATAAGAGTTAGTAATATGGAAAGTTGCCATATATTCATAATTCTGACCAAGTGCTATCATTGCACATGTAGACAGTGATCTGACCCACTGCTGGCTGGTAGTAATAGTGCACTCCAACTGTAAACCCTGATAAACCGAGAGCAGATAAGAAGACCTCAGCATACCTAATGTCATCTCTTATTTGTAAAATGACAAACTGAACAAGAAGCCTGATATTTTTACTTGTGATTTCCTCAAGAAATGGGCTGCAATAATTCTGGAAGATAACTGCCCCTTTGGTTTGTCCTGTCATTCACTTAAATATCCACCGTCAGTCCTAAATCTCTGGTCCTAGGGTCCTACTATTTTAGGAAATGACATTCGTACATCTCATAGAATGGGAGAAAGTACAAAGGAGACCCCCTCCCCCAGAAATAGATACTGAACTCAAACTTAAAATTATTTTTATAGCTCCAGCTTATTTCTCCAGCACTCAAATATTTAAAAATGTAAACTTTAACTCTCTGTAAGTCATGTCTCTCAGAGTCAAGAACCTGAAATGTTAAACTTTACTTCCAAGAAACCAAGCTATGGTAAGGAAGAAATATAAATAACCCAGATCCATATCCTATGTCAGTCAGATGGAATGAAACTGTTGTAGCTGATAAATAGGTAGAGGAAAAACATCCTTTATCAATGGCACTGTTCTGTATTGCCCACAAATGTAGGAAAAAATATATCAAGTCATTGGTGCTTTGCTGTGATAAACACAATTTGTGTGTGGGCATCTCTACTCATAATCTAGAAATGTCAAATTTCTAGTGGTGGTAATATATAGTAGCTAACTCATCTGAGGATCATCCCCTTTCATTTTATTATTCACTTGTTGGTGGTGTTATAGCAAATCGTGAAATAGCAAATGAAGGAACCAAGAAAAAAAAAGTAATAAAACTAAATAAGCTACCGAATAAATAAATCAGGTATTTTAATTAAAAAATTGGATACACAGAAAATATCAGATCTCTCAGTTTATCAAGGTATCTTTCTCAGTAGCATATCACAATGTAACAACAATTTACTTTGTGTGCTTTTTTTAGACTCTTGGTTACCATAAATTACCCTCCTGTCATTAGTGTGTACAGAGGGCATTTTATGTGATGCTTTAGACTAGCCACTTTTCCTACTGTATATAGCTTTATGATTATTATTCACGGTATTACTATCATTCTGCTATATCCATTAAGGATCTCAGTGATTAGACAAGTTCTTGAATTTACTGTTTAGAGAATCTGTTCATTTAAAGACCACCTCTCAAAACAGAGAAAAAAAATGCAAAGTAAACATGACAAAACAAAAACTAAAGATAACATCCTACTTATATTAGCATCATTTAAATATTTCAATTTACTTCAGAAACGTAAAAAGCAAATAATGAAATTCTAGAATTTTTAAGAAGATTACAGCTTTAAAGAAATTAACCAGAACACAACAGACCTGACTGTTGCATTAAAAGTCTTTTGTGGTACCCTTTAACAGACGGCCATATGTTTAAACTGGAACATTCAGTCACTCTAATGATTGGTGGGCCAGTCCTAATCCCTTCACTTGGAATGCTAGGAGCTCCATGTAACTAACAGCTGGCCCTTGGTAGCTACACAGAGTAAGAAAAGAACTTGATATTTCTTTAAATGACAAATCTCTCTCTCTCTCTCTCTCTCTCTCTCTCTCTCTCTCACACACACACACACACACACACACACACACACACACACACACACACACAATCTGCCTAATAAACTAGTTTATAAATTCTGTTATAATTCACAGAAAGGTAACCCTTGAATAGCTCACAAATAGATGTCAAACTACAAAGCTGGCTAAGGGGTTGCTGTAGCAAAGTGCATATTTGGTGTTCTAAAGCAGCCAGCCCGGGTTATGTGTTGCAGAGAACTCTTTATTTCAACCACATTTAACTTTCTACAGGATATAATAATACCCTGCACATTTCACTGTGCCCAGAGCGCTGCTGATCTTTGTTTGCTTCTTAAGAAAAAGCACTCAGCTGAAAAGACTGAACGGTGGCCTGTGGGCCGGAATTCATCAGTTCTTTATTTTTAGCAGTTTGAATCCCCCACTAATGATTTTGCACATTAGCAGCTAATCAAACAGTTTAGATAAGGCCGAGAAGAAATGCTCTGCTGTGGTCATACAGAGAAAGAACTAGAGTAAGGAGAAAATAAACTTCTGTGCCATCAAACCAAATTAAGAGAAACAAAATAAATAATAGCAACTGAAGAGAGAAATAAAATATAATGTTGAAATTACGTAAATTAAGAAGCTGGAGAAACAGCCATAGATTTTCAAGTGAGAATTTAATTGGAAATGTACCCTCAATGTTAGGAAAGCAAAGACATACCATACAAAGGCTAGAGGTTTTAAATGGAGTATAATTTGATACTATGTAAAAAAACAAAACAAAATAAAAAACACTTACTTCTGAATATTTGCACATTGCAAAAAATCCCTGTGAGGAGATAATGTGACTATTCAGTGCCCTGATGGGGTTAGCAGGAGAGATGTCACAGACAGGAATAAAAAAAACAAAGGATGAGGTATAGGGCAGTGGGCTCTGGTCAGTTAGGGCGGGCACTTGGGGGTGAGTCACTTAGCACTGGTTTTTGTTACTCACAGAATAAGGCGCCTATTAAAGACCTTATGTTTTTGGACTAGAGACCTTGAGAGTTAGCGAGTTCAAATGTCTTGATGCAGGCCTCAAGGCTAGGAATTGATAACCAAGTTTCAAACCCAGGTCTGTTTTTAAAAAAGAAAAAAAGTAGCCTTCTCTTACTGGGAATGTACTCTATTAAGTTGAATGTAAATGTGGGAGACACAGAAGAACTTACCTCACCAAGAAGAATGAGAGGAAGGGGTGTAAAACTGGAAGAAAGGAGCTGGAGGAAAATGGGAAATGGCAATCTTTGAGAAAAGGGTAGGAAATGGAAACGTTGTTGTTGCAGATTCCCTACAATTTTCTCTCAGATAGGAAGGCACTAAGGTTCCACTCAGTCACTTTGAGTTCTGTTTTCCAGGCACAATTAATTCTTAAGGTATGAGAGAATTTGCAGATGTAGTTGCAGAACCTCAAGCTGGTATCTTAAATGAGTCACCAGAAAACTAGTGAGGCAAATCTTGAACTAAGTCTCCTGCAAGTTAGGAAGTGGATAGATTTCTGAAATAATTGATTTTGTCAAAATTCTATAAAGCATTGATGAAGAGAAGGACTGAGAGCTATCTGGGGAGCAAGAGGAAGAAGATTCCCAGAAGACTAAATCTTTAAGAACAACATTTGTTTAACCAAGCATTTGACTACTCAAATTTTATAAACAACATTTATGAAGATATGACAGGCATGCTCATCCAGCAGATCTAATACAAACAAGGCTGGGAGGGACAGCTCTCTCTCTGGTTAATTAAGAATAAAATGATATCTGAAAACTGAAGCAATGCTAAATCTACTGAAGTGAAATATAACTGGAATAAAGTCTTGTATTTAAAAAACACTCCATGAGTATAAGTTTCCAGTAAAAACTTGAGCACAGTTTATACAATATATTTGGAGATCTTAGCATGTTATGAGTCCAACACAAGTCAACAAGGTGGCAATATTCTTGCTGAAGAAAAGTGAATACAATCGCAATAGATATCTACAATCAAATCAAGGAAATAACTGTATTGCTGAGCAGATACTACATGAGATGCTGTGGCCACTTCTCAACCAAACCCTTTAAGGGGCTTGGATACCAGAGCCCTTTCAGATGAAAGTATCATGTCAGCACCAAGACTGGGTGAGGGTCTGGGGGTATTTAGTCTGCAGAGGACAAGGCTGTCTTCAAATAGGCAAATAACCGCCATGGTTAAATGGGAGTAAATTCATGCTGCATCAGGCTGCCATGAGATGGAGTTAGGGACTCAGATTTGAGATTAACATAATGAAGACCTTTATGACATCTGGATGAATCCCATAATTGAAGAGTAAGTCTCATCTCTAGGGAATTTCTTGGCACTGAAATAAAGCTAGCACTGGCTGACTGCAGGTGATTTTGTAAAGAGATGTCTGCATTAGGCAGGGAGTTGGAGATGAACTATTCATGGTATTACTACAATTCTGGTGGATGTGTGCCTTTCTGGGTGCCCAATGTCTGCTGCACTATTTTGTGCTAATGAAACCTCATTTTTCCTTTAGTTGACCCTATATTTTGAACTTCTCTCTCAGCCCATTATTTTTTGATGATGTCAACTCTACTCTTACATCCCAGGAATAGAAGAACAACAACAAAATTGAGGCTAAGCCAAAGAGTGGATTTCATTCCTCTGCCTATAAAGACTGGTTCAGGGATGGGGGAGACATGGCTCAGTCAGACTGAAGAATGCTAAAAGACTCAATTTAAGAATTTTTCTATTGAGTTATCAGGGACATAAACCATATCTTCACTGTAACTAGTATGATAATGGATTCTCAGAGACTAAGAAAAGAGCCAATTAGGAGAAAGTGTGTTAAAAAACAGATCCCATTGATACTGTTTGGGCCATCATACCTTTGAAGTTTTCATTTAGTATGCAAACTAACAAATTTCTTCTTTCCCTAAGCTTCTGTGTGTTGGGTGTTCTCTCTTACTGGTAAAAGAAAGACTCGCAAGTGATACAACTCCTGAGATATCTTTCAACTCCATGTGAAGAAATAATAAAATATATAAAGGAAGCAAATTTTAACACCTAAAAATTAAAGGTAAAACACATGGCTAGGTTTAATTGGTATGTGATGTGAGTCCTGCACAGTAGACCTTTGACCACAGCTGGATAAATAAAAGGTCAAGAAGTGAGTCTTTGACAGTTGGGGTGATTTTAAGACAGAAACCCAGGAACAGCTGTTACTGAGCCAGGAGCTATCCAGCTCCTACTGGGAAGCATTTAAACATCAAAGAGCTCTAGCTGCCATGCTGCCCTAACACCAGGGCAGACAAGAGGACCTTTAAAATTTCATTACACCCTGCTGGTAATAGGTATTTCCTATTTTAGCTGGAAAACGCTTCTTAAAGTAAGAGACAGAGAGGAAGAAAATAGAAATCAAATTGAGAAAGGGAGTGACAATCATCTTTTAGGATGTTAACTGGTTTATTATTATTATTACTAACTGGTTTATTATTATTATTACTAGGGTCTCTAGTGGCTGGCAGCGGCCACTGGGTACTCCTTCCCTCCCCCTGGCTGGTCCCACCCCCTGGTCAAACTCCCAGAAGTTTGAGGGGATAATTTGCATACTATGCTATTATTATATAGGATTTTGGTTGCTATGCTTATTCAGCATGGTAAAGTAGAAGAGTAAGAGTTGATCAGGGATATTGGGTGAGAATGAAGAGTAATAGTAAAAACAGATGGTGTGATGATGTCAAAGGAGCTTTGGGTAACAAGTATAATTAGAGATTATCATTAACTCCAAGCATTGTCTGATACTTAAAAAATAACCTTCTAAAAATTAGGGGACACAGAGTGTATAGAGTACTTAGCTTTGGTTGAAAGCAAGTACTTAGCTTTGGTTGAAAGCAAGCCTTGGCCTTATGGAACCTATAATTTTGTGAACATGAGGAATGTTCAGGATAGGAAAGACTCCAAGAAAAATTAATGTAGGATTTATCACTACTCTATCCAAGCAGTGGTAGCAATAAGAATGCAATTTCCACACCATTTTAAATTTCCATTGTCTCTCACCAGCCCAACATAAATTCTACAGGAAGTGCTTTTTTCTTTATACAGTCCTTGGATACTTAACAAGGGAGAAGAAAAACTATGTACTCCGTTTTATTTTACATAATGTGACTTGTGTATGCAGGATGGGTGATCATGTGTGACTGTTCAAAGAATAGAGCTTACAAATCCGAATCTATTTTTCTAAAAAAAAAAAAAAAAGAACATAACAATGAACAGAGCAATCCACTCCTAATTCCCCTCATGAATGATAAAGCAAACAGTTGTTGAAAGCAAAGTGCTGGGAGCTGGGAGAGCATTTCCTCACAAGCAGGACTGCAAAGGGTGCTAGAGACCAACTGGCAATACGGGAGAGGCAGAGGGAACGAGGGAGAACAAGGATTCTCACATCTGAAAGGAAGAGGTGAAGAAGAAAGGAGACACAGACAGGTAACGAGTTGAACCAGCATATCTGCTCTGAGGAAGTCTTGCGTTTTAAACACCACCACTTGGTTGGTTTGTGCCATGTATGAGGGTAAAGACACCAGGGCTTTGGCAATGACACTGGAATCGCTTTACACATAACACTGGGTATCCAGATGAAAGCTAGATGCCAGGAAAGAGCAGTTTTCCAGTTAGAACCACATGTCACAGAAAATGTTCTTACATGGTTCTTGTTTTGAAGTCTTATGTCACCTCAGGCCCAAAGCTGCCTTTCACTGACTCTCTTTTTTCTAATAAGCTAGTCCAGCCTCTGCTGTTTAATTGGAATAAATATAACATTAAAATGGAAAATTGGGCTTTGTCCAACTCAACTTTAGCCAGCTGAGACAGCATCAATGGGAGGGAATGATGCCGCAATTTTCTTCTCTGATAAAATGAGGCTAGAAATCCATGCAGAAAACTTGGCAATATTCATTAACATGAAGAATATGCTACAATGAATAGTAATGGTTTGCCTTGCAAAGCACATGTTAAATACCATTAGATGTTCAATAATGGCTAAGACGATGTATGAGAGATGCATGAATAGGAATATTGAGTCCGATTGTTTCCTTTGAACTCTGCAATGATCTCTTTCTCCGGCCCCATTTTCAAGCCTGACAACTGGAAAGGACAATTAAACAGGAACAAAGAGACCAATCTACTCTGAAATGCTGATTGCATTCCACCTTCAACTGCACAAAGAAAGCTGTCGACATATGTCTGTGACGCGGCAGGTTTAACATGAGTGTAATCAACATCTCTGAAAAAAAAAGAGGGAAAAGAACCATCGAAGTACATATGGGGATCCTCCATGTTCCGGACCCTACCGATCTATTCTTGAAAGGAGAAGACTGATCCACTTAATTGATATTTAAAAATGTACCTTCTGATGTAAATGTGTGATAAGACAAATTCATAAATGGGTATCCATTACTCAGGAAATTTAAAATAACCAGCTAAATTTTGGAGCAATCTTTAAAAAACAAATTATGTGAATGTGTTTATAACCCTGTAACAGGCAGCATCTCAAAATGGGTATTGATCATTTCTACGCGGGTGATGGCCAAACTGCTCCGGCCACAGTCCCTAGAGGCTACTTTCCATCACTGCCGAGGATGGAAGGAAAGGGCCAGTCCAGCGGCCTTAGAACAGGCTGCACCCAGGATCGGGAAATAACAAAGTGTGGTATTATAGTCAAAGAGTAACTTTTCACACACTTCCTCTGAAGTCTTAGAATTCCTCAGCCCATTTCTTAACTGCTTTCAGGATTATTCTCCTTAGAAATGTGAAGGTAAGCTTAAAGGGGGCAAAGTATGGTAGGTAGGCAGAATCACAGATTGTTACTGCCTTCTTCTCATAAACTAGATGATAAAACCACTACTTTGTTTTAAAATGCACCAGAGTTCCGCTCTGTCACTTGTCATACAATAAAAGAACAAATATATTTTGCTCGCACAAATCAAGTTCAAAAAGAACCTTGAACGTTCTGTTCTCTCAGCCCTATTCTTAAGTGTCATGAAAAGTGATGCAGGCTCTTTTTATTTTCTTTGACTCTCTGAAGGAAAAGTATTACTTACTTTCCATCCCAGACATGGTCACCTCTGTGGAAAATCACCAGGTTTTTCTTAGGGTCCACGGCCACCCCCGAAACCTGGCCTGGTAACAAGTATACGCCAGGCCAATCTAGTGCCTCTTCTACATGGAAATCTACAAAACAAAGCCGTACATTGAGTGTAAACAAGAAAGCTGGTACAACCTCACGAAGATTCACATTGGTTATAAGAAACTCATGCAGTAACATCACTCAATGCAAAGAAAAAAAATAATAAATCAAGACGTGCTCTACATGATAGCCCACATGCACATGCCAGGCAGCCTCTGGAGTTATGAATCGGGTAAGCGACTGTGAACTGCCCGGGAATTGCATGCTCCCTCGTCCTGTTGATAAGATGCCTATAAAACCTGCTTACCCTTAAATCAGTAAGAACAAATGTGAGACCACCTTCTTCTTAGTAAGATTCTTACCCTGTTTCCCCGAAAATAAGACAATGTCTTATATTAATTTTTCCTCCCAAAGTTGAGCTAGGTCTTATTTTCAGGGGATGTCTTATCTTTCCATGTGCTAGGTCTTATTTTCGGAGGATATCTTATTTTCGGGGAAACACGGGTATTTTAATTAGTATCTTTGGAAAATGTGGCTACATGGATGGCATAATTTTAATATAAAGCTTCTGAATGTTGTAAATAAATGCCAAACATGGCCAATTTAGCATCTTTCTCTCTCTCTCAACTCTTGTGTACATTCTGATGTTTAATATACACCAGACCCTACAATAAGCCATCCCGGTACAAGGAACTATATAAGATGCCAATTTCATTTTTTCCTAATTTTAGTGTTCCTATGAAAAAATGGGAGTGGGGAGACATCCTTTTTCATTGCTTATATTTCACTGCTTCCTAACATAAGGAAAAATCACAGAAACTCTGTGACTGAATGACTTCCAAGCCATTCTTATTTCTGACCAGAATACATTTATAGAGAATAGCTGGGTTCATTTGTGGTAATCCCTTTACAGACATTCAAGTAAAGAGGTATGATGTATGGAATAGCTACGCTAAGGATATATAGTTACAAAGATGCTAGGAAATCTGTTGTATCAGTGTCAATATTTCTTCCCCTCCAAAATGCTTCAACAGAGATGCTGAGAAGTAGAAAAGAAGCAATTCCAGTCCCATTTATCCTCCCACCCTTTTGAGGATGTAGCAACACTGCAAAAATCTCAATTAAAGACGAGGAAGAAAGGGAGGCACAGGGCTTCCATAATTACCTTCTGGGAACTTGAGAGGACGCCAGTGTGAGAATAATCACTTTAAAATAATTCTCTTGACTATAAAATTTAGTAATTTTTCACTTAAAATATTTTTCCTTTGCACATTTATAATTTTCCTTTCAAAAAAATTAACAAAGCATTGCACCACCAATAGAATGCTAGATCAATTCTGCCTATAAGCTCTGCTGAAGCATCTTTAACAAACATCCTCTAAGTGTACCGTATAGGTGAGGCATTATGCTAGATTCCGGGAACACACACACACAAAAATAAAACCCATCAGAAATAAAACATTGTTTTTGGCCTTAAGGAACTACAAAATGAGAAACAACAGAAAGCAAACATGTATGGCACAACATAGGGCAGGGAATGTGGGAGACGGTCTATAAACATTCCTGAGGCTGGGAGAGGGGAGGGTGAAGGTCAGACCTGAGAGGTTTCCCAGAAGAAATGTTTGTGCTTACACTTAAAGGTAAGTGGGGGGTTCACTGAGTATAGATGTGGTGGGGGGAAGCATTCAGATCACAAAGATCAAAAGAGAGGATGCTTATAATTACAGGATGTGTTTCAAGTTCTTTATGTAACAGGGAAAGAATGCTTGTGTACCTCAGGTGGGAATCTGGAAGCAGGAGGCAGATGAACAGATCCAAAAATCTAGATTAGACTGGAAAATGTGTTGTAGACAACATGAAGGAATACGGATTTAAAAATGAATGCATCTGTAGCTCTGAGCTGTGGTGTCTTGCTCTATGATTAATTTTGAGGCATGCTGCAAGTACCTTACCAATAGCAGTAAAGCACAGAGTTTGGGAAAATTTGCTTTTGCACATGAGAATGTCATTCTCGCTCACGTGTGCTTTGATATGCCCTCTTGAGTTGGGGAGGAGAGGGGCAGAGTTACAGCTGGCATTTCTAAATCTGTAAACAGTTCTGGGCGCAGCAGTGGATGTGAGAGGGGCTGCTCAGATGAATAGCATTCATCATTTATCACGCTTGTCATAATAGGAAGAAAGGACACAAATTGCTGCTGCAGGCGGTTGGGAGCCACTGAAGGTTTTAAGCATGGAGTGACATGATTAAAACCGTGTTTATGAAAGTAAACTATGGAAACAGGGCATAAGCATAGTAATTAGAGATGTCTAGATGGATCAACAGATGGATAAATCATCCCCCAAAGAAAAGGTTTTAAAATATTTTAAAGGTGCTTGAATTTCAGGTTGTACTTCATTCATTCTCATCTCAATTACAGCGTGTCTGTTTGGGGGTCATGATGCTGTACTCATTTGCCAGCTCCTGAGGATTCTGGATAGGCTCCAAGAAAACCTCAAACCTCATAACAATATAAATGATTAGTTGCTTTAGTCAGATTTTTGAAGCCTAGAACTTCGATAAAACTAGATGGAATTTCTTGAAGCAGGGATCATGTCTTGTTCACTGTTTATTCACCAAGGCTTGCACGGGGCCTAGCCTACTGCAAGGGCCTAATAAATGCATGAACCTGAATGTGATGCTGGTCTTTTTTGCTTATTATGTTTCCAACTAGCATTTAAACAGCCTTATAATTAACTTGCATTACCCCTTGTTTATCCCTAGCACTACACTAGAGACATTGTGAAGTGACTCAGTAATAAAGGCTAATTGGTGAATTATTTTCACTAAATACAATAAATAGATATTATGGTTCCTGGAACCTTTCTAGTTAGTGGTTCACCAGCTGGTAATGGAATCGAGGTGCTCATGAAAGTGCAGAGATACTAATTCTGACAGAAAAGATGCAATTTCCAAAATTAGTACATTGTTCTGGGATCAAATGTGATTTTCTTTTTATTGTTGTTATCCTTCACCTGAGGATTTTTTACACTGATTTTTTTAGAGACAGTGGAAGGGAGGGAAGGATAGAGAAAGAGAGAAATGTGAGTGAGACATGTTGATCGGTTGCCTCCTGCACATGTCCCAATGGGAGCCAGGTAAGTGCCCTTGTCTAAGAATTGAACCTGGGACCCTTCAGTGTCCAAGCAGATGCTCTGCCACTGAGCCATACTGGCCAGGGCTCAAATATGATTTTAATAAAATATTGGAAGTGTTGTGTAAAGAACTTTAACCTAGCTATGAATGATCCTAATGATCACTGACCTTAGATTGAAAAGTGTTTGAAAGTCTACAAAAATCATTGGCTAATGGATTGCTAACAAGCTATTTTGTCACATATAAGAATCTTTTTGGTTGGAAATTTTCAATAAGGAAATTTCAAGTAGAAAACTCAGTGTAAATATGTACACATTTATTTAAAAGTATATGCTTTTGGTGAATTTTCAGAATGTAAGGTGCCATCTGAGGAAATATGTAAGAGGTCTAACACTGAGCAAATTGGCTCCTTCATTATTGAGTTACTTCGAAGGAGAACTGTTTTGTGCATGGCAAAAATGGAATTATATTGAGTTGTATTAAATTTCATTAAAAGTATAATTGTACATTTATTAAGATTACCTACCCAAGACCTCAAAATCTTCAGGATCTAGGTCTCCAAGTTAACTAGAAATTCTACAATAAAGGAAAACTGTTCTCACCTGTGAACATTAGCTCAGTTAACTGATGTTTTTGCTTCCAGTGTCACCATCTTTTCAATTATTAGGTAGTTAAAGGCTATTTGCTTCAAAATGAAATAATCAAGAATCAAGGCAATACTTTACAACTAGTGGTATGTATACCGTATTTTCCGGCGTATAAGACGACTTTTGAAACGAAAAAAAGTCAACTGAAAATCGGGGGCAAAAGACCAAAATTGCACAAAAATACCTGCAGATCTTGACGGCAAAGTAAGTCTTTTCTTTGAAGTGGGGGGTAGTCTTATACAGCGAATATAGGCCTAAACCTATGTTTTAACTGTAAAATTAGGGGGTTGTCTTATACGCCAGAAAATACGGTATATGGAATTAATATAGATGTTTTCCCAATACCAGCCCACTTCTACATGAGAATCATAGAAGGCGAGAACATACTGGCTCATCCCAGATAATTTTATCATTTCATAGAAAAGAAACCGTGGGCTTGAGCCAGTCTTCTGGCATCAATGTCAAGGATGGTTATTTTCTATTAATAATAATAATTTCTCTAATGAAGAAAAATCTCAAAACCTTATTAAAGAAATTGTATGATAAAATATATTTGGGTTCTAACTTAAACTTAACATTAACAATAACAGAGAAGTTCAAATTTTGAGTTCAGACTCCTCTTAGTTTTTATTTAAGAATTGATTTAGTACATAATTAATTCTGTAGACTTACAGTTTTAATTTGAAAATTAAATACACATTTCTTACACATGACCTTGGGAAGCTATTCCCATCAAGAGTCTGCTGCTCTAGATTCGGATGTCAAAGAATAGGATTATTTCAGAAGAACCCTTGCATTTATTATAAATAAAAGTAAATGTTCAGACTTATATTCCACCATGAATTTATAAAAAAGTTACTGCTCTCAGAAAAAATTAAACATTACTATTAAAATTGTGTCAATAAATCACTAAAAGGATTAATGAATTATACCTTTCCAAGAAAAGATTAATGTTAATGATCAATGCTGCTTTCATATGAAATTATTAATGAGCATTTAAAAGTTCATTTATCTGTTACATAAGGACTAAAGGAATTAGATAACGTTGAGAAAAAAATATAAATCCCAACCCAGAACTATGACCTAATCTGAGCATAATGAGGCTCTTCACATTTAACCTGATGGAAAGGATCCTGATGAAATTACTGGGAGACCACAACAAGAACAAAGGGTGGTGGTTGTATTTTCTACACTTGCAAATTCTCATCTAGTGAGGAGAAGATACATTATTTTGGTCAGGGATTGTTATTCATCTGAGGTGCAGGAATAACAATAATTAACTAAAAGCATAGGAAAAATATTTACCTATGTCAAAAAGAAAACAAGAACTAATTATAATGTTTCATTTCATGAAAGTGAAGTGAGGAAGAAAGTTAAGACATAACTAGGGGTTCAAAGCATTAGCAGAATTTATTTTCTTTTTAAATAAGAAAATTAGATCAGCATTTTGCAAATGAGATCTTGGTCAATTTGTTTGGATAGTGATTGAGAAAGCATGACTAAAGGTAATACACAATTACAGTTATTATGATCATAGATGAGATAATGAGATAATCATAGATGAGATAATCATCCAATGGGATGATTGGAAAAAGGCAGTCATCTTCTTATCTATCTATCCATTATTATGTTTATTTTATTGTGATAAGGGGAATAACAAAATGAATAAATAAAAAACTTGGAGCAAGTCTGCCTGACTTTCTTTTTTCTTTTTTCTTTTTTCTTTTTTCTTTAAATCTTGGTTCCTAGCACTGTCTCCTTTCAATGCCCCAGTTTCTTTTCTCTCTACATGAATTTATAAATACCATAATTGTGATGATGATGAAATGAGTTAATGCATCTAAAATACTTAGCTCAGCTCAGAGTAAAGGCTATATATGTGCTTGTGTTTATTATTTTCTTCCCTTACAATAATTAAAAAATTAGTCACATGAATGCCTCATTTTACTCTATAAATATTTCAGATTTGAACCTAGAGGTAAGCATATGGCTGAAATATGTTAAAAGGATGGACTCTGAGTTAAGTAAAACTTGTCCGCAGAAATTAAATTCAATTTAAGTGTATCATAGAATACTGAAAAGACTCTGAGTTTTCTTATCAGATGGAAAGCATCACACAAACACAGATTATTTTTAAATGTATCCAGTGGTGTGTAATTTATGCTGAATCAGGCTTCCATGTGCAATAAAATTTGCCAGAGAATAGCTACTGTGTTTTTTAATGCATTGTTCAATGAATCTAGTTTCCAGAGGTAACTAGAATAAAGACAGCTAACATTTTGTTTTTATTCTATTAATGTTGTCTCAATATAGATATCAAACTAATGATGGAAATCAAAATAATGTTTGGCGTAAAAAGGAGTGCACTTGGGTCTCAATTTACCAAATTGAATATTTTCAAACTGTACATCAAATATCACAGGCAAATATCAAGGCAGATCAATATAACTAATCAGAGATTTGAAGAGCCATAAACCCAATTATGATAGAACTCTTTCAAATCATTTTCATAATTTATCAAATTAGAGTGCCAGATTCTGCAGCTTTCCTACACATTAGAAGGAAATTCTCTCAGAAGATGCTGCTTATGTTAAAGTAATTACTATTTAGTTCTACTGTATTGGTGCTTAAATTTTTGAAATTTTCATCCAACATGACATTAATGGTAGCAATAATCATAATTGTTGTTAACATATTATAACATTTATTAAATGTTTTCTATGTGCCAGAAATTGTTCAAAGCACTCTCCATGTATTATTTGCCTAGGGACCACATATAAATGGTGTTCCCAGGATTCAAAGCCAGGCAGTCAGCCTCGAGTCTGAAGTGTTCTATGTATATCATACTACCTCCATGGAGTGGTTTTCAATTTTTTTTTTTTTTTAGACAAATGGAGAGCTACTTGGGCGTGAGGCTGGGAGGAAGCTGTAGTGTGTGTGTGTGTGTGTGCTTCTTTCTATATGTGGCGGGGAGTCTGAGGTTACTACTTCCTGCTCGAGGCACCCTCTATCCAACAACAGTTGGAAAGTCTCTCTGAGCTAGCTGAGCCTGTCTAATACTGCTTCATAGCTGTTGGGAAGAGAATAGATTCTGAACCACCAAAAGTCATGAAGACAAGACTTTTAAAAAGGGGGGTTTTGTGATGGTTGTGTTCATAGAGACACATTGAAGGCACTTAACCATCTTGTTCCTTGGAATGCCAAGGACTTTCTCAGCTCTGCAAAGTTGGAAGATATCAGTTTATGCTGCTCTTTATGGATCTTGGTGCTCACTGACATTCAACCCATAATGAGGTGGAAAGCTCAACTTTAAAGGCATTTGCCAGGGTCTGGAACCAAGTGAAATCCACACTAACCAGAAGATCCACAGAATGGTGCTGCCCTTGAAACATTCAGGTAGTCCTGGGCCTAGCATATTGCAGGTCCAAAATCTGGGAGGGTCAATGAATCTGAAGTGCTGCTTCTGAAAATGGGGATATGAGTGGTAGTCTTATCTTCTGATTATGAAGAGATTTGGAAAGTCAATGTATTTTGGGGATTTTAACCACTTCTTTCTTAGGAAAACAGAGTAGGTTTCAGGAATGTAATGTCTAAGTCAAACTATGGTTTTTTCATTGACACTTAAGATGCCTATAAATGATGATTTTTTTTTCAAATCGAAGAGTAACAAGCAAACACAATTCCTGGAATAAAGTAGGCTGAACTCTAATGTTTAACATTTGAATAGAACTGTATTCTAACCCGAGGCCCTTTTGCCTTTTATTCTTATGTTGTTTGGACTGCAACTTATCGTCCTTACTACAGAGGTTCAGACAGATACCCCAGTCTATTTATGAAATGGAGAGGGACATACACTGCCGATTTCTGGGTAACATACTCAAGAGATGCAATTCACAGTTCTCTGGTAGGATTTGAGAATCTAGGTTTCTCAGAAGCACCCTCGATTCTGATGCATGGGGGTGTAGGGACTGCCTTTTGAGAAACACAATTTATTCAACAAATTTAGAATCCGTTTGAGCAGAGCTAATGTCTAAATAGGAAGAGGTAAAACATCTGAGTTCCAGTTAACGTCTCATAGAGACCATGAGGCCAGTCCCAAGGGACAATGCTCGAAATTTGTGTCAGAAAAACAAACAAACCCCGCATGCTAATTTTTTTCAATTATAAATACAAATCAGATGGGTGTTGAATAATTTATGACTTCCTGCAAAGCTGTATTGAAAACATCAAGCTGGCAGCCTGCACCATTCCAGCCCACGCACAGGAAGATGCCATGCACGGCCGGCCATCGGTTACTTTCTGGAGACGATGCCCACCTGCTGTGTTATCAGGCTTTCCACATTAGCAAGTAACACGAAACACAACCAATATCACAGAGGCCACAACACAATGAAAGACAAAGAAGAGGCATCCATCGCTTGCTGGTACAGAAACCTGAAGGGAATAAGGTATTGTCCTCTAATTATGGCAGCCAATCATGGTTAGAAATAAAGATAGATCTGATGGTTACTCCCTGACTGGAGGTCCTTTCAGAAATAACTATTTACTTCCCAATTAAGGTAGTAATTAACGATGGAACTTAAGGAATCAAAGACATAAGCATAGTTACAATGTACAAATCAATGGGATGAGATGTAAATGATTCCTTTGAGAGGAAAGTAAATACCTTAATAGAAGGTAGTGCATTGTAAGTATTTCATACACGGGGAGTTGACATACCATGTTTTTGAATTTTCAGTTTCTTCCCATGGAACAACATGGAGAACGTTGATATAATAAGAATTTGTTACCATGAACTTCATATGCTACCATCCCCAACACGATCCAAGTGTTTCTGGTCCTGGTAATTCTGGCTCACCAGTTAAATGGACCTGAATTTACTTAGCATTGGACCAAAACACAAAGAAATACTCCTCAAACCAATGTGATATCTGATAACCCAAATCTGATTAACATTTTTTTAATGATAAGTCCTTTTTATTGATGAGTTTTTTCACCATTGTTATTCCCTTCAGATTTTGCTACTGTGCATTGCAGCATTTCACATTTTATTCTTCCCAAAAACCCTGAACGCACCTCCTGTGTGTTCTGATTCCCAGGTGCCTTCACCAGGTAGGGGCTGCAGTACTGAGGAAACTCTGCTCTCTGCTGGCCTCAGAGTAGATTCTAGTCTGTGAAACTTGTGAATTCTGTCTCTGACAAGAATAGCATTGGCCCTCTCCTCATGCTCTGCACTCTCTCTTGTATTAGATCGACCAAGGTCCTTCTTTTGGACTACATTTGCAATTTCAGCTACCAGGTCTGCCTCTGATTCTGCCTTTTCGGTAGGATTGTATTTATGCACATGAACAACATCTTCCCTTTCTCCTAGCAGCTTGGAAAGCAGTGAATAGAAATCACCTGCGAAAAAAAGAGAAGAGATAAGGGGAGGAGGGTTGATAAAATTCCAAAATTTACAAAATTTTGTGTCTTAAAAACAAGTGGAAGAGAAGGTTGCTCTCAAACGTTCAAGCATGGAGGGGTGGGGGAAAGATGATCTTCCAGAAAATGAAAAAATAATATGCTTCACATTTCATTTTATACACCACCTATTTCTTTCTGTTATCTCAGGAGCCAACCATACTGAAAAACCTCTATTAGCATTTTAGTAGAAACAAAATAATGCACATATGATTGTATAGTGCTTGCATTTTTCAATAAATGCTTTTCACAGTTTAGTTAGATTGATTTGGAAGTTAGAGTTCATCAGATTTCTAAAAGAAAATATTATCAACAGCTATATCAGAAAATAGTTATCTTTACCTACAAAGCCTTGAGGTTGTCTTTAAAATTCTATTAAAGTATAATCTACAAGAAATTAAATGTATATTTTTGAACAGTTACTATAAAACACAAAAAATATAACAGATATGAATCAGCTTGGCAATTGGAAAACCTAAGTTATATTGTGTTACTATAAGTAGCTCTATTATTGACTTTAAACAGTAAGTGAACAAATTCCAGAAAAATAATTTTGTGAGAAAAGAAAACATTTTAAACCAGTTTCAAACAAAAGAGAAGATGTTAACAAACTAATATAATTGGAATGATTCCAAACTAAAATGTATTCAATGTCTTCCAATGCTAAAAAGTAAACTTGGATAGGGTAATCTACTTCCATAAAAATAAATTATTTATAAAAGATTATGACAGGTATAAAACATGCCATGGAGACTTCATGGAGTATTTTAATCATCATTTACATGTATGGCTTCAAATCCATTTACAAAAGCTGTGTGAATGGGAAACATATGTATGTTCTAAATGGAAACACAAATCTGCTTTCCTAAGCCAAACCCAAAGGTAACCCATAGCTCCTGCTTTTCCTTACTCTAAGTCCTGCTAATAAAATTACCAATACGATGGAGCCCTATTGCTTGTTTTAATTACATTTCCAACACCATCAGATAACATCTGTAAAATCTTTTTTATGATCATTAGGAAATGAAAATGATGACTGATTTAGCCATGGTATATTTCACTAAAGAATATGTTATTGAGAAACTGGTATACGGAGGATATAAAAATCTTTCCAAAATGATGCTAAGAGACCCTGTCATGTTTACAAATATTCTTGGGTTAATGATTCCAAGTAGGTTTTCAATTCTTGCCCATGAAAGCAGCTTATCCCAGGTGAAATCTTCAATCAGAAAATAATTAGCAGTTAATAGGGCCAATCTCAGTAGAATGAACAAAGCAAATTACAACTCAACCAAATCTGTAAGGCCACAGTGGCATTCTGCCTCATAAAAGAGAAATTAATTCATCACTACTAAAGTCTCCTGCCCCAAAAACTACATGTGAAGAGTTCAATATGCTCTTATACAGTGAAACATTTTACATAGAAAATAAAATACAAGATTACTTCAGGGACAGAGAAACAATATGATTTTAAATCTTGAATCAATGCCATTAGGCTAATATTGATGGAGGGACACAGACTCAGAACTATGCATACCATTCAGTTTTGTCAGTTAAAAACCTAAAATCTGTGGTAATATACCAAACACAGAGCACTCAGCTCCTCTGAAATTATCACTTACAATAATCACTGGGTTAGGACAACCAAAATTTAACAATGTAACAGGCATGGCGGGAGGCAGGTTGCATTGCTCTTGTGAGAACAGCTTCAGAGAGGCATCTCGGTAAATAGCTGCTGCAGGGGACGGAGATCACTAGATGGCTATCTCTTACATTCTTATACACAAACCAGAAAGGGTTTCCCCCCATTTTCTGGTCTACAAAATATATAAAATCTTGACATTTAACCATTTTTATTAGTCATATCATGATCCCGATTTAGGGAATATACCTAACCTTGAGTGTAATGGATGGAGTAGAATATAAACGAAGGAAGCTTTGTGGTCTCTACCACAACCTCATCTCCTCTCAATATTCCTTTCTTTCAGTTCCATCAACTCTCATATGTTGCTTCCTCTTCCTGGGACATTCTTTCTCTAGTAATCAACTCTTTGCTCAACCATCAGATATTATGTAGGCATCACTTATACCCAGGAAACTACTACCTTTAAGAATTGTTTCTTTTAGATTTAAAAAAGATCGTTAATGTAATATGCCCAGTCCAATGTATATCATAAACAGGTACTACTAAATTGCAGCCATTATAATTACCAGTGAAAGATATAAACTATAGTTGCAACAGGCACCTGCTTTAATCTATTACTTACCTAAAATTAAGTAATTTGACTGAATGGGTTTGGTATTAATATTTGGAAAACACAATTGCGGTGGTCAGGAAAAGGAATGCAGCATAGTTAGCTACAAGAGAATCTAAAACGCTACCAATTAAACTCCAAGTTGTGTGCTTGCAATAACTTCGTCATGCCTCAAAAAACATTTTTTTTTTTGCTTAGTAAAGATCACACCCTATTCCCTACTATTAACATGGAAATTCTTCCGGTTTACTTTTAGGAATATGGTGAGATCAAACTAAAAAATGAAAACACTGAAAAAATTGGCCGGTAAGTTTGTTTTGTTTTAAATAAATGCTTTAAGATTATTGGATGAAAAAAATATGCATCACCACTTTTAGACAGTATAAAATCTTAACTGTGGCAGGCATTTTTATTTTTAAAATGACCAAAAACCTCTTGGTAATCTTTCAGAACATAAACTCCCATTTCCCCACATATATCACCAGTATTTCATCACCTAAAACAAGCAGCTCTTGTTACGGCTAATTGTTCTGTGACTTCCGTGGGACAAGGAGAGTAAGTGCAGGCTCATCAGCAGTTTAACCTCTGACAAGTAAGCTAACTGGCCAAACTGAGAGAGAAATGAGGAATGAAACAACAAAAGCACTTCTTTTTAGATTTGAATGTTTTGCTTTTTAACCCAGTCATGGCTGGTTAAGGTCTATTTGGGTTATTGACTGTTTACTTATTACTAATCCACAACATTTATCCTGCTAGCCTTAGAGAAATAAAAGGCATGACCACGGTGACCCGCTTAGGGATCAAAATTAAAGTGAATATTTCCTCTAATAGGACTCATCGGTTTGAAAAAAATATAAAAAATGACTCAAAAATAAACGGAGACAAATATTTTCTAAAAGGAGAAATTATTATAGAAGATAATGGCTTTTGCAACTAGCACACACAAGATCTGTATTGGAAAGCCAACCACGTGATAAATGATCATTCACATCTGCCTATTCTGTTATTAGGAAACTTAGCTTCCCAGAGCCTTGGGGGGCATTTAGAATGGTGTTTGATAGATGAGTTCAATAAATAAAGACTTTGAGCTGCTCATAAATCATAGCAAACTGATAAATTTTTAGTGAATGGGAATACAAACAAGAATTGTATCTTCCTTGAAACAGTAAAGTGGCATTGGGAGTGCTCAAAATTTGCTAAGAAGATGCTGCTAAAGTCATTTGTACTTTATTAAGAAAAGAAGGGATTATTCTATTTTGAAAAGAGTAAAGGAATATAAATTTTAGCTACTAAGCCTAGTCTTTGTCTCACTGTTCTCATAGTTTACTAACTATTACTTTACTTATCTTTTACAGTAATCTATTGTCATTTTAACTTGCAGCTTTGATCCCTTGATTTGATAAAACATGCCAATGATAATTTCATTTTTGTGAGCATAAAATCACTATGAAATTACTCTGTTTCACAGAAGGGGTCTGAAGACCTTTAACTGTCTGGGGTCATAAAGTGTTTTCCCGCTACAAATTGTATTTTTGTCATAGTCTCCCTGCTTTGGGAATACAGTAGCTCATGTTGACCTTTGAGCAGAAAGATTGATTATATATGGGCACAAAGACTACAATGAGAAGAGTTTGGAGCAAACTGAATAAAACATGTTAAAGGCCCTTTTTGCAGAAAAAAAAATGCTGTCCAAAGTGTAATGTACATTCACAAGGACACACTGGTTTTATAGAATTTGACTTTCAATTTTGCCTTGAGTTTTTTCCAATATATTGAATCTTCCAAACGCCGCTGACATAAATTTCAATCCTACAGCTATACTCTGAATTTTAAAGGAGAGGAACACTCAAATCCAGAACTCTTAAATGCAGCTGGCGAGCCTTTTAGTTTCAGCCCATATTCCCTGCCTAAACAATGTTGATACAAAGCTCATATGTAAGAAACCATAATGGAAAAAACATAAAAAGAAAGTACAAAGCATGCTTTAGTTTTCTGAAATTGCTAACCATTAACACATAAGTAAGGGACAAGTATGTGTGTGTCTGCTCTGGAAAACTTCAACACTGTCATCTCATTCTGTACAGTCTCCTAGGATTCATTTCCTCTGCCCAGAATCACTGTCTAATTGGGTTTTATTGTTTAGCTCATTGTACTTATTACATACATAAATAATTCTTCAATTACAATGCTTTAAAAGATGAGGACATTTCAGTTTGTTTTGAATATTTATTAGTGTTGTTTTGCAGGCAGGCATAATCAAGTCATTCACAGAAAAGCTCACCTATAGGCAAATAGGCTATTTTCAAAACAGTTTGTTATGGGATATTATAGAGCAATTAAAAAGTGTGCCTGCCAGCCTGCTGAATGGGAGAAGATATTCACTACTGACATATAGAAAAGGAGTTAACATCCAAAATTTATAAAGATCTCATATGATTCAACACCAAGAAATAAACAATCTAATTAAAAAATGGGCAGAGGACCTGAATAGACACTTCTACAAAGAGGACATACAGATGGCAGCAGACATATGAAAAGATGCTCAATGTCACTAATAAGGGAAATGCAAATTAGAACCCCAGGGAGGTATCATCACACTCTGGTCCGAATGCCAGCAAGTGTTGGTGAGGATGTGGAGAAAGGGAACCTTCATGAACTATTGGTGGGAATACAGATTGGTGCAGCCAGTAAAGGAAAATAGTATGCAGGGTCCTCAAAAAAAAAACACAAGAACTGCCTTAAGGACTCAGCAATTCTACTTTTGAGTATATATCTAAAGAAACCCAAAACCCTAATTCAAAAAACTATATGCACCCCTATGTTCTCTGCAATGTTTTTTTTTTTTTTATAATAGTCAAGGTATAGAAACAACCAATTCATCAATAAATGATGGAATAAAAAACCTGTGGTATACACACACACGCATATACACACACACACACACACACACATATACACACACACAATGGAATATAACTTGAACATAAAAAAGAATGAAATCTTACCATTTGCAACAGCATGGATGACCTAGAGTATATTGTGCTAAGTGAAATAAGTTAGTCAGAGAAAGACAATTATTATATAATTTCACTTACATGTGGAATCTAAAGAATAATATAAACGAACAAACAAAATAGAAACAGACTCATACATACAGAAAACAGACTGATAGTTGCTAGGGGGAGAGGGACTGGGGGAATGGATAAAGAGGCGAAGGGATTAAGAAGTAAAATTTGGCAGTTATAGAATAGTCACAGGGATATAAAGTACAGCAGAGGTAATATGGACAATAATATTGTAATAATTATGCATGGTGCCAGGTGATTACTGGAAATACCATGGGGAACATTTGTAAAGTATATGTTTTTCTAACTAATATGCTGTACACTTGAAGCTAAACCAAAATAATATTGAAGGTAAACTGTAATTGAAAAATAAAATTAATAAAAATTAATTTAAAAATTGTGCTTGCCAATAATTTTTACAGTAGGAGGAATATTCAAGAAATAATACTGTTAAAAAGAAGATAAAACTATGCATATATTTAAATACTGTTAAATAATGTGCATATATGGATAATACATATTTTACACATAGATATACATATATACCCTTATTTCTAGGAATTATGTATGATTTTTATTTGCTTCTTCATACTTTCCTGTAATTTCTGCATCTTCTATAATGAATATTATTTTTAAAATCAATCAAGCAGTATTTTTAAAGTACTTAATTAAAGCCTTATTAAAATGTTTCCCATGTTGCATGATCCAGACATCCTGACAGGTAGAGCTATATCATATAATGAGGTCTTATGGTGTCTTCACAATTACATCTTTTGAGACAGACTCTGAGATGCAATTGCCTTACCCCAATTTTGTTGTAGAAGGCGCAAATAAGACAAGGATGCTGCAGAAAGCTAATGTGCTGTGAGCAAGCACAGGCTGAGTTACATGGATTTGCACAACTCAAGATATTTCTTTCAAACTAATTTGCAATTAAGATTAATATTCTGGCAAAAAATTAATAGCTAGCAATCTTAGTGATAAGAATTTCAAAGAAAATAAAATACTTAGATTGCTCCTAGGGAAACAGAGTATTAGATTAATCTGTGTTATTTAAATAGATAGCTGATTTACTTTGAATTTTTTCCCTCCATGTTAGAGGTATCTAAAAGTTCCTGCCGATTTGAGGCACAGTTATACATCTTGTTTTCAGCTTATGAAATATGAGTATTTCTCTTTTTTACTATCTTAATAAAGGTTGTCCCTTCTTTCCAACATAACGTATATTATATACCTTCACTTTTATTGTTCCTATCTGCTTTCCAATGTTTTAAAATACAAAGCAAAAAAAAAATACTGTTTGTCTTATTCATGTAGAACTATATATAATATTAAGGCACTGATGGATGGGCACAGTGCCTGCCTTGGAGAGTATGTCCTCTGATGTCTCAGATCTTTTCCTTCCTGCACCTCAACTGTTTTTTGTTTTTTTTCAATGAGGGTTGGTCACCTTCTGTGAAACTAACATAGATTCTGTTGTTTAGCGTGTGGCTAAAACAACTGAAATAATTCAGGGCTTTTATTTATTGGAAATTAAAAAAAAATTAAATAATTAGTACAACCTGGAAGAATACTTAGAACATACATTTTTTTTTTTGGCCTGATCACCAAAAAAATGCAAAGGGTTAAGTTGAAGGCTTAATTTAAAAATCTGCCTACATGGAATAATTTATATGAAGAATTAGAACCCTTCTATTAGCCACTTGGAGGGAATGAATGCAAATAGACATTTGTGCAAACAAACATCTCCGGGAAGCACTGGATACTCTCTTGGCAATAAGTTGATTTGCCCTGTGTATTGCAAGGAGATAGATTGATCTCATTAGACTATGTACTGTGGTGAATAAATACTTATCTGGTATATTTCTGTACTTCTCTTTCAATCCCAGACCAGTGGTCCCTAAAGACCAGTAGAATAATACACAAGCTATATGGGTCACTAAAATGACTGTTGGTGAGATGTTTATTTTCACAAAATATAGGAGGTGACATTCTGATGGACCCACTAATTTCAATATATGAATGCCATAGCCTATTTTCTTCAGTATGAAAACTGAGTCAGAATGTTTTCTTTTCTTTGTAAAAAATATATATTTTATTGATTTTTTTATAGAGAGGAAGGGAGAAGAATAGTTAGAAACACCAACGAGAGAGAAAAATCAACCAGCTGCCTCCTGCACACCTTTTACTGGGTATATGCCTGCAACCAAGTGTACATGACCTTGATCGGAATCAAACTTGGGCCCTCTCGTTCACAGGCCAACGCTCCAGTCACTGAGCCAAATCAATCAAGGCAGAATAATGTTTTCTTACTTCTCAAGTAAAATCACTTTATAGAATTTTTATTCATAAATAGAAAGAAACAGTTACCATAGTAAAATAATTCATGTGTTCATGCAATTCTTTTCTGGAACCAATAAGACTTTTGGGTATATTTAAACTTCTTGATACTATCTATGTGCTACCAAACACAAAAGGGTAAAAAAAATGAATGCAAAGTATACAAATGTTTTAAAAGATTTGGTTTGCAGGCATATACGATATTCCCTAAATCCTATTATTTATTGATAGAAAGAAGAGATTAAATCTAAAAATTAATGTTCCTCTAGCAGACCTCTGTGTTTAGAGATTTCAATGTTCCCCTTGATCAACTCAACTAAATTCAGAAAGAAAACATAGTCCAGCCTCAATGTCTATAGGAAATTACTATTTTATAGGATGTATCTTCTAATTGGCAGCCTCGTTACAAACTGTACCACATATGTTCGTAGTTGAAAATGTATTCTAAGATGACTCCAATTATTTCAAAAGCATACATTTCAAACATGTGTAGTGTCAAAATAATTCCTTTTAAGACTAATTAAAGTTTAGTACAAATATAGTTCCTACTGTCAATTCTATTTTATTTGGGCTGCAGTTACTGATTTCCTTACAAATATATACACAGAGTTGATAAATTTAGCTATTTAAAATTATACTCAATAGTTTAGTATAATCCTATATAATATCCTATATAAGGCTAATATGCAAATTGACTGAACAGTGAGTCATTATGAGGCACACTGACTACAGGGGGCAGATCCTCAATGCAGGAGCTGCCCCCTGGTGGTCAGTGAGCTCCCTCAGGGAGAGCACTGCTCAGCAAGAATCCAGGAAGAGGGCCTAAGTCCTTAGTCAGACATCTGCTGAGAGCTCCTGCACTGGGAGAGAGCACAGGCTGGGCTGAGAAACCCCCACCCCCTAATGCATGAATTTTGAGCACTGGGCCTCTAGTTTAGTATAAACTACTATAAAATCATTTCTCTTCTTTTTATTTGACATAAAAATAGAAACAATTGTGAGATAGTTAAGATTTGGAAACAGAGGTAAGTTGTATTTTTAAGGCCACTTGTTAGAATGAGATGTTATTGAATATACACCACATAATTTAAATCTTTTGTATTTATAGTTTACCCTATACCCCTTTCAAAGTGTTTTTTCTTTAATTTATTTCAAAAGTTTGGACTCTTTAATTTTGTAAATACTACTAGTGCAAAAGTGGTAGTTTTTATTTAATAGAATATATATTTCTTAAAATTCAGAAAGAAATTTCAATAGTGTTTTACAAAATCCAAAGAGTCAAAAATTTCTAAATGTTGATAATAGAAAAATCCTATCTATTTTCTGAACACTTTGTGTTGCCATCAGAAGTGTTTGCATTAACATTAAACTAATGTTTTAAAATACATAATATCTAGGCCCCAAATAACTTGATAACATTCTTCAACACCTAACACAAAGTACTAACTTCTAAACAACTGGCAATAAACCAAGATTGTGGAGAGCAATTTCTCAGTGCCAGCATATGCAGTATTTGACATACAAGTATGAAGTATTCCACTTAAAATAAATAGAACCCAGGAAGAATGATGCCTTAACTCATCCGAGGGCAACTTAACACAAAACTACAAATGCATAAAACAAGAATCCCTCCTACCTTACTGAAGTCAGAGAAGAGAGACTTAAGAGAGTCAAGAGGTGGGTTCAATTCTTAATTTCTTTTTTTCTTGAACCTCAAATATAGTTAGTGAACACTAAATATATAGGAATTTAAATGGTAAAAGTTATTAGATTTCAAAAGCAGACTTCTAATTGTTTCTAATGGTTCTATTTGTACTATGTATAAGAATTACAATATTAAATAAGTAAAAACAAAGAAAAATCTAATGGGACTAAATTACACTAATGAATTTTACTTTCAATGCAACCAGTAAGAGCAACAATTGACCATTTTCTCATAAATTATGCATTAATCAAAACAGCAATACACAACATTGGAGGCTCATAAAGACATAAAATATTTCAATAACTTTAAAATGTGTCTGCCTACTTAGATAATGAACATTTCTATAGGCCTAGCTACAGAAATAAGCATACATACCCTGTCCTAACACTTCTTCTTGTTTCGGCTGCTGAATTAAAGAAGTCTTATCTTTGTTCTCTGTTTCTGTAAAGGATCAAAGAAGCAGAGCATAAATTTTTAGTATACATTACATGCTTCTAAGTAGTTTATTGGAAATATGCCACCAACATAAAAATATTATTCAGGGTCTTGTGTTTCATTAAAGCAACAGTAATATAAATTTACATGTAGAAGTACTCTAATTCACCCAGAAAAACTAAGGTAACCACCAATAACTTAATAACTAGACCTACTACCCTTTTAGTCATCTATAAATGATACAGAATTTTATGCATGCAATAATAAAACTGCCCATGTTTCTTTTTTTAACTGAAATTTATGATATTTTAACGCATATTCTTTAAATACACCAGGATCTTAATAAATGACCTGATTGCTATATTAACTTCTTTCATAAATTTCCACCAAAAATTATAAATTTTTCTAGTATTTTAAGAACAAACTTGCAAAACTCAGTAAAGTCTCAGCATACTGCATTTAATAAAGCAGGGTGTAGGTTTTGAAATTTTAATCTAAAAAATGACCACCGATATGACTGTTTTTGCAACGATTCTGAGAATAAGACCAAAAAGGCCAAGACTAGTAATGCTTCATAAATCAAGAATTGTTCTTTGCTTGACAAGGCCCATTAAATAAATGATTGAGGGTATGACTGGAAGCGATAACCATTTTCATTGGCAAACTCTAGCACTCTTTAGAACATGGTATATAAATTCATAAATTGCATAAGTCATTACTGGCTATGGGTAGAATGAAGTGGGAAACTAGAAAGTACACTTTAAATAAAGAAAAATCTAAAATAATGGAATCAATCCCCAAACTAATACCTTGCACCACTAGTTGAGATTTTTCACTTACCTGTTTTGATGGGGGCATGTCAGGAAGGAAGGAAGGATTTAGAAGGAAAAGAGGGAGTCAGATTATGGGAGCACATGTGATTGTTAGACAGAGAAGAATGATTTTAAAAATTTAATCAGCTAGTTAAATGAAACACATAAAGCAATAGAAAATACAAAACCATATGTTACTTTAAATGACACCAATTTTACCTCTGTGATGTCCATGCATCATAACCATATCAGACTTCACAGGAATTGGAATATTGGCCTCTGGTGGTATGTTTCTGAACATATCAGGAGCTACATTCTGTGTACAGGTCATGAAGGAAACTGCATGCTTGGCTTCCATGTAATACATAATGTATAAGTTGCACATTTCATCATTAGATGTGCCACTGTGGGCAGAAAAAACAGACACAACAAATCAGCCAGTCACATAAAACACATTCTAATGCAGGAAAAATGCAACCAGTAAATCTGCCAGAAATGGATTCAAAGGTGAAAATAGTGTGCATTTATTTTATGGCTTTCATTAAAACCCATCCCAGTTTCTAGCACCAAAAGCACATTGTCAGAGGCGGAGTTCCACTTAACAACGGAGTACCCATTTGCAGTCTCTCCATGGATATCAGCAAACACTGCAGCTGGAAATAGCATTGGAGTAGCAGCGAGATAACTGTCTTTCCTCTTCTAAAGCCTTCTATTCTTTAGTCTTTCTTCCATTTGCTAAAATTCGGATTGGGCAACGTACTTTGCTTATGGAAAAATCTTAATTATTTGCTACATAACAGTAAAATCCAGAACACTTACACAGAAATGTCCTATGTTATTTACAAGTCTTTAAAAATGATGTTTTCCACAACTCTGAGAGTCCTGGAAGTTGTTTTTGCTTACTGCCACCTCCTCCCTTGTGGTCAGGTGAATCGCGAATCACGTGCTGATACTAAAACATCATTAATTGTTTCCCTGATATCTGACGTGGCACCTTGGTGTCGACAGCAGAGAAAAATGGGGCCTCGTTTGATAGAAAAGGAAATCAGCCCTAATACCCGTGTTTCCCTGAAAATAAGACATCCTCCGAAAATAAGACCTAGTGCATGGAAAGATAAGACATCCCCTGAAAATAAGACCTAGCGCAACTTTGGGAGAAAAAATTAATATAAGACACTGTCTTATTTTCGGGGAAACAGGGTATCTCCGAAGGGCTCAGCCTGAATGGGATCTGCTATGCAACTGTTAAAAACAGATGATGATGGGCACTTCCAAGAAACAGTTCCCAGCAATGTAAATAATGCTTGGTGGTTTAGAAAACATGTTTTTTTCTCTTCCTCGGTTCATATGGGTCACTCTATATTTCCTTCTCTTCACTGTGATTAGGAAGGAATTGTCTGCATCGCCACAGAACTTATATATACCAAGGCAGGTTGGGCACAGGAATAGTCCATGACCTCTGACAACGTTTAGCAAGCCCATGCTAATAAACAAGTTACTACACGGTGGACGGTTTGCAGGGCAGAAATGCGTCACTGTTGGTTTTTCCAGCCATGTCATGCAGCACTCACTTCCTCTCCATAGCAACAGTAAAGACATCAGCAAAGGGAAGAAAAAAAATTGTTTCCAAACAGGGATGTGGTTTCTCTCAGCTCTGAAAATTGAGAGCCCCTGAAAGGCCACAGGCATGAGCCCCTGCCCTTGGGAAACTCTGTTGATGCTTTAAAAATAATTTGGCTTTTCACACTCTCAATCTGATACCTGGAAACATACTTGTTCCTCCTGTGGAATGTAAGCAAATGTTGAAGTGCAACCCCAAACAAACACCTGTTCCCCACACATACCTTTAGGTGTCAAAACACCATTCCTAAGAGTGACATTTTAACAGCCGTGGAGGTGGTTAGAAAATTGTGTGCTCCACAAGGAATGGTTGGTGCTAAAGTAATAAATCAGAGCCTCCCGCCATAATGCCCTCCCTCCCCTGTTCAAAATGAGGAAAAATGTTCAGATCAAGAGAGATAAATGATGAAAAAGAATTTTAAATTGTGGTTCCTTCTTAGAAAACCTTGAGTCATCTAGCAGACAAGGAAAGCAAAATAAGCATATAAGCTTCTCTAATTAATGAGAGAGAAAAATTAATAACTATATAATAATAAATGAACTTGCAACTGATTTTTGGACAGATCCATCCATATTTTTCTTTTTTTTTTGGGGGGGGGGGAATACAATGCCCATGTTCGCTCTAAACATGTGATTTAGTGATACAGCCTGATCTACTCACCAAAGTAGTTCATTTAAGGTACTGATTCCTATTCAAAATAGAGTTGACCAAATAATTTAAGAATCTTTGCTATTACAAATAAAATTTTATTAAAGAGCTGAAAAGAAAGTAATATTTTATTCTTTTCCATCTGTAATTAAACTCTGAGTCAAGCTAACTCTGAGCTCTTATCGAAAGGATTATAGGCTAAACATGTGTGGATTCCAGTCATTTTTAATGCTGGAGTTTGCCTATTTTATTTCACATTCATCCTTTTTTCACTCAAAAAAAGATAGCAGCCCCCAAACCTGACTTTAGCCAGAGAAATTGCTTTCAGTATTTCTACGGGAGAATTCTGACACCCCAACCCTTATTTTCCATAGAGAACAATTCTGTAATCAAACGCTGTGAATCTGAATAGCTATTAACATGAGGAAGTATGGAGGGAGACTGTGTTCACACATCTGCCCTGACTCCACTGAATGGCCTTTTAAACATTCCCTAACGCTAGTGTGATTCTCTAAATGATGATTGCAGGCATCACTTATATTCCAAAATTACAGCATGCGTTCCTTTCACCTTCTTGCATAATGAAGTGCTTTGGGGATAACTACTTCTTTATGCCAGCTAGCTTTAAATCTGACAAAGGGTGGTGAGCCTGGACATAGCCTTCAATAAGTATTTGTTAAATGAAGAAAGAATGAATAACCTATTTTAATAAATGTTTACAAATTACTATGGCATAAACTGTTAGCCCTGGTATATACTATACTGCCAAGTTAGGTCAATTTTGCAAACTCAACTGATTTATGGCATTTAAAAAATATTTCTATCTATCTATCTATCTATTTATCTATCTATCATCGTCTAGCTACCATCTAACTAATTGACTGATCCATCCATCCAGGTTCTATGAGAATTGCCATAAAAAGTAATTATTTCATATTATAATGATATATAATAGATATTAAAGTACCAAGTATTCTGAAATGCACCATTTAAAAACTCCTCAATATTATGGTACATTTACCTTGAGTATGTCTCAGACAGTGACACTCCTCTTTGATGAGTCACCCATTCCTAGCCCCTGTCCCTTACTAGTATACTCAATAGATGTGAGGCTTAAAAATAATCAGTGGTGGGTGCTACTAATTTTGGAAAGAAATTGGAACATTTTTTTAAAACGTTATTTTATAAAATTTTTGTTTCCTAAGATGTTTCATGGTGGCTTTAAACTTATACATTAAGACGTTATTGATCATATAACTCTATCTTTGCACATAATGCATTTTTAATGACTGAAGTGTTGTGCTTGGTATCTGTGCATATTCACTAGACATTCTTATTTATACATGAAATAATTAGTTCCACATGAATAATATGACTAACAGAACTGACCAATTCTTAAGAATTAATTTTAAATTTTAGCATATAAACTTTTAGGCAAATTAGCTCACTTAGCTTAATTGGCTGACAATCAAATTCTTTGTTTGCTTGTTTAAACTTGACTAAACATTCAAAATAAATTTAGGTGTTCGGTTAAATATAAAATGCATTAATAAATGTTTCATGTGTAATGCACTCAGGTGTAGAATATTGTTTCCTCATAGGTTAATTAATACTATGCTGTCAGTTTATACATTAGTACAATTTTGTCTAGGAGATACTATTCAAATTTACTAAAATATTAAAAGAAATATACCTGGATTAAAAATGTGACCATTAAGTATTAAGTATTTATTGATCTGACTTGTCTTAAACCCACCTATTTTTAAATGGTTTTATTTTGAGATAAATCCCAGGAATGGAAAATCAGTCCTTAGTTTTTAAAGTGTTTTTTTTTGTTTGTTTGTTTGTTTCTTTATTTTTTAGTTAACTATGCTTGTTCTAACTAAGCAACATTTTCACCAATCCGAAAATGTTCAGTTGAGATTAGCTTGGATTAGGTGGGAGAATCACTCATCTGTAAATCTTCCTAGTAGGCCACTGATGATACAATTTTCTTTTAAAATCTAGTTTTCAGATGGCTGCAGCATAAGGGTAAACACCTATAGTTGATACTTTGCCCAGTGCATGGAGGGGGTATCTACTGACCCCACACTACCTTTGGATACCTGGCGTTTGTACTACTAGTAAGTTGGCTTCAAGTTGGGGATTCTAACACATGGGTTGGGGGTAGATGGGAAGGGAAAAGAGGGAGAGGAGAATTACAGAGTATCATTTAACTTCATAGACATCATAAAACACTAGTTTTCTTTTTTTTACTGGTTGCATTCTCACTGTGATTCCATAGTAGCCTATTGCGGTGGTATCCATTACTTCACACAAAAGAAGACTGCTGCTATTACCTTTCCAACACTAAAAAGCATACAAAGTGCTATGGGAAAGTTGGGCATTGTTATGAGAATTTTATTCATATGTACATTTATTCAAACTTGTCTTACTAGTTTACTAGTATCCTTCCACTGGAAGAAAATTGCTTCTTTAATATAAATGAAATATTCAATGAATGGACTTGCTCCATAACTTAATTTCCTGTAATTTCTTTGTTCCATTTATCTTACAAAATGCACTTCCTTTGGCCCACATGATATTTACAAAGAGACAGGTTAGCATAGTCATTTTAGGATATTATTTTAAAGCAAAACGCACATTATAAAAAAGACAGAATTATTCTTAAAATATAATCATTATATTTTTCTTTAAGATGAGTAATATAAACTCTGTGATAATCGTAATCATGTGGAGGCATGATAGTGAAGGTCTTGAGTAAGCAGGAAGAATGAAGCATAAAAAAAAAAACCCTTATGTTCTAGAGTTCATCCAAATCGATCAGTTCTAGAATGATACAATGCTATAGTTTGTTGTAGTTGTTCATGATAAAAAATAACACAATTCATTCACAAAGATAACTATCACCTTGTCCCAATAAAAGCTTTTTAAACAGTGAAATCTGCAGAATCATACCCAATGTGGGTGGCTTCTGTCCTTCCTTCACCAGTGAATACACATCTTGCTGCTAATATGTCACCGAAACTTACATCTACTGGGTGCTCCACAGGGTAGAAAGCCTGCCAAGAATCAAACAAGAAGATTCATTAAAACTACCAATAAAGTCCAGAAACACCTGCTTTAATAACATGAGACTTGGAGCATCCTGGGTAGAAGTATGAAGAGACAGGCCTCCACCCCACCCCCACTACCAGCACCACCATGCTTAGAAATATTAAGAGAACTGATAAGAAAACCACCAAGTTCAAAGGTGTATGAAACTAAATTATACACAGTAAAGGTAGATTTAGAGAGGTTTAGAGTCTAGAGAAATTCACAAGGGTCCTAGGAGAGCTTTTAAAATTGCTATCTGCTGCTTAGTATTTTTTTTGTTCAAAATTAAACTAGATTCTACACACCTGTGGCAGTTGGGGGCTCTGGCGTCCAATCAGCGCCCACTGTCCATTTCTTACTCTGTATCCACTTACTACCTTACCTGAAATGAATGCAAATTATAATTATATAATACAATAAGGTATTAGAAAAATAAAATCATCATTTGCTTTCTTAACTCAAAATAAAATCTAGATATTTTCAGAACTCCAAATGCAATTGGTTTTAATGAAAACTGAATGATGAAAAATCATACAGAATTTCAAAATATTGAGCAAAATCAATTTTCACTGAAACAGATTTAATGTCAATTTGCATTTTATATTTTTAGTATTAGCAAGCACAATGGTAAATATTTATAATTTAATAGGTAGTTTAATGTTCTTACCTAAATGATGAGTGTGAACTCTATAGGCAAAGACATGCATTGGATAATTATTATAATGACATGAAATGTCAGAATTCACCACTGTTAGAAATAAAAACAAAGAAAAAGTCATCATTCAACTCTAAAAGTATGTACAAGATATTCACAAGCTGATTTTCTTATGAAGTAAACACAGTCGCATATATAGCAGACACTAAGCACTCATTATGCAACAGCCTCTTTACTAAGATAAGTTCAAATCCCTTTGTCTTCACATTTTATAATATTCATACACAAAATGACTAGGGCCAAATCAAAATATCCTATCAATGAAAATAATGGCTTAATTTGTTACCTTTATCATTAAATTTACACAGTTGAAAGGCTTAAACATTGTTTTTTAAAATTCATTTTATTTTATTATTTTTTTCATCCTCACCTGAGGATATATTTATTGATTTATAGAGAGAGGAAGGGAGAGAGAGAGAGAGAGAGAGAGAGAGAGAGAGAGAGAGAGAGAGAGAGAGAGAGAGAAATGTTGAAATATTGATCGGTTATCTCCCATATAAGCCCCAACCAAGAACTGAATCCACAACCTAGGTATGTATCCTGACTGGGAACCTTTTGGTATACACAATGATTCAACCAACTGAGCTACAGGCCAGGGCTGTTTCTTTTATTTTTAAAACAGAAGGAATTTTGAAATTTGATTGCAAACACCTAAGGCATCTAGATTCACAGTTCCTAATGAGAAGGGGCCATTCTATATACTTTTCCTTCCTTAGAGTCTAATGCAGAGTAGCTATTAAATAAATGCCTTTATATTAAGCAAGTGAACTGTTACAATGGGACCCTATTTGTCATTGACTTTAAAAGATTCCCAGTAAATCAAATAAAAAAAAATTTACTACGGCACTTTCATCAGAAGATTAGACACAATGATAAGTAATATTTTACTTATTCCAGTAGTTTTTTGTAAATTTAGGAGAATCAGCTATTATCCCCATTTTACAGATGGAGAAATAAACCCAATACTGTCTTATCCAAGTTTAATGATCTTGGATAGGGTTTTCTTAGGAGCAGCTTTTAACTTTAATGCAGAAATGTTTTTCCTGATATCAGTGGAATAATGGTATGAATTAATTAAATGATAATAAATAAAGCACTTTTCAAAGCAAAAACAAACCAAACAAAAAAAAACAAAAAACAAGAACTTGCTAGTTTCTTGATTTTTGAACCTAACAGTCTTTGGAGTAGTTTATTACACAGTATTTTATGATATTTATTTTTGGCATCTAAAAATAGGTAATTGATTTCTAAAATACTAGTATTCAAGATTTATTCTTTAATTTATATAACCCATTACCTACTCAGGGCCTCAGTGCTAAAAACCTCAATAAAATAATGAAAAATAATAAACTACTGTGTTAGAATCATGTAAAAAAATCTCTTTTCAATCTAGAGATAATAAAGAATTGATTTATATTTCAGGGACTTAAAAGTATCGGTCATTTCAAAAGTTTATAAAAACTATACACTAAATCTCTCCTATAGTTTAGGTAATGAGGTAATAGTAAATACTAGAAGGCCATTACTCACCTTTCTCTCCTGCTGGTATAACAGTGTCAACAGACATCATAAGGTACATGCCAGCAATTAAGGGCTGTCTGCAGAAAACAGTGATATTTATTTCATCTATTTGAAAAGTCAAAACTATTGTCTTGGAAAAATAATGTACACTTCAATATATTGGTCTATAAAATATAATTTATGTGAAAATTAAAACAAGATAATATTTTTAAAAGGTAGAATTTTTTTCTGAAAAAAATAACGTATTTTGTTGGGCAAATAGCTTACTACACATATTTATGGTGTGGTGTATGTGGAAGGCAGCATTTAAATGGCTCCTGAGATGGTTGATTGTGTCAATGTGGCTAGGTTTAGTGACCAGCTGTTTGTTCAAATACTAGTTTGGATGTTGCGTGAAGGTATTTTTAGATATGATTAATATTTAAATTATTGACAATGAGTAAAGCAGATTACGGTCCACAACGTGGGTAGGTCTCTTAAGAGAAGAGATTGAGGTCCCATGTAAATGAGGATTTCTACTTCCAGACTGCCTTTGAAGTCAAGATGACAAAACTGACTCTTGCCAGACAGCCTTTCAGATTTCAGACTTGCCAGTTCCCAAAATTGTGTGAACTAAGTTCATTAAAGTAAACTAATCTCAGTCTCTTTCATGTATATGTAAAGAATTTATAAGCATATATGCATAACTCATGGACACAGATAACAGTGTAGTGAAGGTCTGGGAGGGGGAGTAGGTTGGGTACGGGGGTCAATGGGAAAAAAGGGGAACATTTGTAATACCTTTAACAATAATGATACATTAAAAAAAACATTATTTTGATTCATTTTCTCTGGAAAACACTAATATACCTACCAATGATTCCCATCTTTCGTATTCATGACCCTTTCCAATCCTCTTCCCTTGAGTTTAAGATGACCTAGTAACTGAACCCTGTAGTAATTAGTTATTCCTAGCAAACAGATATTGCAAAAGTGATTTCGTGGGGTTTTTTTTCCTCCCCAACAGGAGTCAGACTATGAAGATTTGTGGCTATTTTCTTTACCTATCAGACATTCATTATTTAGTAACTTATGTGATTAGGCTATGAAAAATACTCAGCCAGCCACCTTGCTTTCTCCCTTGCTGGCTGTGATGGAAGCCAGATGCCGCACTGTTGTGAGTTGCCCTGTTTAGAGTCAACATCGCAAGGAAATGAGGGAGTGCCCTAGCCAACAACCAGAGAAGAACTGAATCCTGTTACAGCCAAGTGAGTGATTTTGGAAGTGGCTCTTCCCGGTCCAGCCCCCAGATGACTGATATACCAACCAAGAGTGAGACCACCACTCACTGTTAAGATGTGCCCAGATTCCCGATCCACAGGAAACAATAAGTAATTGTTGCTTTAAGCCACTAAGTTGAGGGTAATTTGTTGACAACAGATAACGAACACAGTAGATTTCCCCCCTTTCATGCTCTCAAAGATCTCAAAAGCTGTCGCTCAGCTAAGACAACTAGAAGTACTTACGGCAGGCGTGTGAGATGTAAGGACACACCAGAACAGTCCTTGTGATTATCTGAAATGCACACACAAAATACACATCTTAACTATGAAAACATGCAGAATAAATCCCAAAAATAAAACATTTTAAAAGATTATAACTCAATACTAACAAAAACTATGTTTCATTTGTATGGTGCTTTACAATTTGCAGAGTATTTCATATTCATGAATGTATCATTTCAAGCATACTGGGATTTTTTCTTGGCTTATCAAAATGACCAGTTATCTGCTCGCCTACAGACATACTAGATACTAATAAGCTCACAGAGGGAAGCTGTTGCTACTTTCTGTGTTGTCTAAATATCCAGAAAAGTTGTTCTATGGGACTCTAAATAGCTACTTTTTATTCTTTAAAGAATAGAAACCACATGGAATCTCCTTGTTTGGTTCCTAAGACTTATCCCCACATTCTAAACAGAAACTACTTATTCTTATTACATCCTAACTTCAGTGGAAAGCCTCCACGTATCTCTTTATCTTTGCCAAGGACACTTCAGAAACATTTTACAAATCCTCCCTCTTCTATCTTCCATTGCCTTCCCCAAGTAGAAATTAGGTAAAAAATTAAGTCATTCATCCAAGTCCTTATCTGTGATGAACTTGCTGATGTCTCACCAAAGACTACAAATAGTAACTCATACTTATTCATTCTATTTCTGTCCATGTAAATTTCTTCTACTTTGCATTTTATTCTAAGAAATTATAAAACTTTATATCTTGATGTTGAGAATTGATTTTAATAGAAATAATTATTGCATTGGGTACATGTGTAAAATTGACAGATTTATGCTAGAAACGAAGAACTGTGCTAATAAATGTCACCAGATGGAGTAGTTTCTTTAAGGTAATTTTTTTTCTTTAGCTGTAATTCTCATGAGAAAAACAAAGGAGCTTCATAGAGATATATGTAACAGTTAACAAGACACGCATTTTGATTTATCATAGACAAAGTTTAGAAAGTATAACAAATCATGTTTAATACTTTACTAATAAAATATAAAGGAAATTTCTCTGTACATATTATATAGGGTTAGGATTAAGCTTGATTTTTACAAAGGTGGTTCAGAAATAAACTTATGACAAACACTTTATATTTAATAAACTGTTTTTTGTTGTTATTTTTTTTTTCATTTTACAAAGGAATATCTATCCAAGCTAAATCAATTTCAGTAGGGTGCTATTTTCAAAATAATTTCAATGGTGAACTTTAAAGAGATGGGAAAATAACTAAAGTAGCAATGAAAATAACAACCACTGTTTTATCTCATTTTTGCCAATGTTTTTAAATATAGAAAGAATAAATGAGTACTATTCTTTAATTTATTAAAAGAAACATTTTATTTTTGAGAACAGATTTCCTAAATGTACTGCATGAGATTTACTAAATTTGCGGAGTTTGTACTACTTTCAAAATGACTTCACTCAGAATAATTTAAGTACCTCGATTGATCAAATGAGAATAGTGGGGGGGAAATACCATTCATTCATAGTAAATGAATTCTAAACTCTAGAGCCTCACCTAATTAGCTCAGTAGATTTCAGGGGAAACATTTCTCATGTGTAAAAAAAAATCATACCTGTCTTAAAAGGTTACTTTGAGAAATGGCAGTCATCCATCTAAGTAATATTTATTAAGCAATCGTGATATTCAAGCCCTGTCTTATACACTGTGGATACAGTGAAAATCAACATATTCAAGTTTCCTGCCCTTGTGGTATTATCCTCTAACAGGAGTGGAGCCAGGGGGAAATAGGGTAGGAACAGGAAAAAACAAAACCCAAATATATAAACCAGATAATGTCACACAGTCAACTCAACAAGGTAAGAGATCGTGGGGTAGCTGTTTTATCTACTGTGGACAAAGAAGGATGGAGTGGCCACAAGACTGGCAATTATCTAGCAACACAGAGCAAGTAAAAGTTTGTTTTATTCTCTGTCTGTAAAGAAGCCATTGGAGATTTCAAGCAGTGGAGTGACAGATCCTGTAAGGTGTTCATCTAGCACAGTATCTGGCACTTGCTAATTCCTGGATGTTGTGTTTGTAATTTTTTAATTTAATTAATACGAGGAAAGTGTTTGTTCCTTGTCCAATGTTTATCCAAATAGAAGGGTAAAAGTGCAATGAGAATTGTCTCTGGTTTTACATTACATCTTTGCATTGAATGAATAAAGTGAATCACATGTTGATAACCAACTTGGTTGATATTTGTACCATGACTTTAAAAATTAAATGGAAAAAATTAGTAAGTAAATTAACACATTTCAAGAACTATTAAAGAAGTTTATCCTTGAAGTTAAAACATGTCTCCAAATTAAGAGCAGCAGGAATGTTACTATTGCCAGTAGCAGTGCATCTTCCTGTTAGATAATGTTTTCATTAGAATTGTCTAAATTGAGAACTTTGTACTCAGAAAAAGAATAGCCTCTGCTATATAATTGTTGTCTATTTGCTTCCTTCTTTAAAGGTGAGCCACAGTCTTACCACTCACTCCACTGCAAAGACAAGTTTTCTTTTGACCCTACATGTTTACCAACGGCATGTCCTATCCTATAAGAAAGTCAAGTATATCACACAACAATAACAAAATGGCTAAAATTCAAGTAATAATATGATGTAATCAAATTTTTTGAGAAAAATATACTGAACATCTGACTTACATATTTTATAACAAAATGACTTTAGGAAAAACTGTATTTTAGAGGCTCTAAGCTTTGTCTGATAAAATGTAAATCTTATATGGATAGAGGGGTGGTGAATATAAAGACCCAAAATGAAAATTTTGCCTTTTTACAAAATAACAACAACCAGAAAACAAAATACAAAGAAGGAAAATTAGTGAAGAGATATACTTTTAAAATCATATTAGAGTTTAAGTCATGGCTGAAGTAATTTACAGCAAATTTATCTGGCCAGTTTGATGCTGTGTGTGTGGGTGCATGTGTGAATAAGCATGTATTTATTGTGGTTTAAATTATGGATAATATTTTATCATTATTATTTAGCCATAGGGTGAGAGAATTACAACTCTAACTATGTGACTTTAAGACATTCTGTTATTTGGTAATGGATATATACACATTTAAGTGATATTTTAGTTGAACAAAATTCTAGATGTTATCTCAAAGTAAACACTTACAAAGCATATTTGCATATGTTTTTGACATTAAAGTCAACTGCTATTCATATAGTCATTATTTCAAAATCAATTTTATTATTGCAAATTATTGTGATATTTTCTAGTACAACTTTCTACAGTTTGACCAAAAGGGCCCATACACTTGCAAAAACACAGTAGGAAGTCTCAGTGGGAGCAACTTAAACTCCCTCAAATGAGGTGGTTTGGGATTGGGAGGGCTCCTGGATAAATAGCTAACTATTCTTATAGCAAGTGCAGCTTGGGAGGGAGGCATATTTCAGCCTAGTGTTTGGTGTGAAGATTCTGACCTTCTAACTCCAACGCACAGTGATGCATTATTATTTCCATAACCTCTATAATGATCTTACTTCTGGTGAACTAAGAAACTTCAGCAAGTTTTGCATATTTTACCAATGATTTCCAGTGCGCTTTGACTTTGTCTGCCCTTCTATTGTAACACAGTGCTTTAGACATAAGATATGAAGCCCCATAAGAATTCATTCATTTTCATTCACTAGGCTATATATGAAATCTGTCTGACATGCATAATCATAAAAACGAATGACTAAATATGTCTATTATAACTAAATACATCAGTGCTAGTATTTTATCACATAAGATGAAAAAACAAAATCAGAACAGAGATAATTTAGAAATATACAAAGAATGAACTCAGAATATCAATATTATGTGCTGGCTGAAAAGGGTAGTTGAAAGGACTGATTCTGTGTCTAAAATGAAAGTCAATAAGAGAAAAGAGAAGAGATAGATGAAAAATTTAATGCAGGGCAGAAGACCACAGAAATAGATTTCCATAGCTTACATATAGATGGGAAATGATCTGAAGTTATATAATTAAATTTCTCTGAATGAAATGTACACTAGGGAGTAGAATACTCCCTTAATTTATATTTCAATATAGATATTTTACAAGAATCATTGCATAGAAAATTTAGAATCAGTATATTTTAATCACACACAATTACTGGACCACAGTGCCTTGTAAGATCATCATCAGATTTTAAATATATCCTTATTGAGTTACTTTATCTAAAATGCATAGTATCTAGAAGGCTATCTATTTGATAATTAATAGATTTGTACTCATAATCAATATTGATGCCACTAAGAAATTTCAGTCTATAAATGAAATAATCTATGTAAAGAATATAGAACTCTATTTGGAGCACAGAAAAATAATCCAATGAACGTTAGTTATTAATACCATTATTTTTATTGGTAGGTTAAAATTTGGGATAATATTTTATCATAATAAGTTTACTTTAAAATTATATTTCAGTCATAGGTCTGGAATTTCTTTAATTGAAGAAATCAAAGCACATCAATTTCTCTAACTAATAGCATAGGAATAGAAGAAAGGGGAGAGCAATCTGGGAATTCTAAATGAGTAAAGAGATGGTCAAAAAAAGAAATTATTATAGAATTGAAGTGGTATATTAAAGAAATTGCAAAAAATAGATATTCTCAAAATGGAAACAGAAATGCTGATTCAGAAGAGTCTGAACTAGGTCGAAATAGAATAGAATTGCCAGTGAGATAAAGACATTTTTAGTAAGAGACCATTATGCTAAATGAAATAAGACCGTCAGAGAAAGACAAGTACCATATGATTTCACTCATATGTGGAATCTAGTGAACAAAATGAACTAACAAGCAAAATAAAGAGAGACTCATAGATAGAGAGCAGGCTAACAGCTGTTAGAGGGTACTAGGGGCTTGGGTGGGGTAGGGTTGAGGGATTGGACCAAAGAAAAAAAGAAACTTCATTGCCACAGACAACAGTGTGGTGATTGCTGGGGGAAGGGGGAAGGGGAGAGGTAGAAGAGGGTTTTGGGGGGGAATAAATGGTGACATA